ACATTTAATCCTTTTATTTAATTTGCAAATTCAGCAACTATCACCTTTTCTTTGAACTTTGTTGTATAAATGATTTTTGTTCCTGCAGCCATTAAAGAAACAACCACGCGCTAACGGTGGCGCGTGTGATAAAGATTCGGTTACCACTTAAACACACTTTTTCGTTTCCAGAATCGATGGAGACTTAAAACGCTAATTAACATTTGCCCTTAACCAAAAAAAACAATTAATCACTAATAAAAAAATAAAAATTAATTTCCCTCTCTCTCTCTCAATCTTTCTGCTTTCTCGTTCTCCAACCACCGGAAAGAGAGAGAAAGATTCTTCTTCTCTCTATATCTCTTTCTCTCTATCGCTCCGCCGCGCCACAATCACTGAGATGCGGCGGTGTAACAACAACACTGATAAATTCTCTGTGAAAACGATGAGGCTTCTTACGCTTCTTCTGATCTGTAGTTTCTTCTTCCCCTTTGCTTATTCCGCCGAGTCCGATAACGAGACTGACTCAGCTGTTGTTACACGTGAGATCAATGGAACCGTTGTTGAGTCCAATGCCACGAGTGCGAAGCCTAAAGAAGATAGTTTCGCTGATATGATCGATCGGGCACTTGAGAAAGAGTTTCCTGATAATGACCAGAACGAAGGTTCCTTAGATCTTCATTGTTCTACATTTCTTCAATTCTTTGTGGAGCTAGGGTTTCTCTAGGGATTGATCCTTCTCTAGGGATTTATCATTGATTAGCTAAGTGGTCTAGACTCTAGACTCTTTGTGCTCACATTTAGTCTATCTAGGTTTATAGATTTCTCATGGTTAATGTCTTTTAGCAATTAATGAATTGTGAACTCTTTCAATTTGCTTTTTTTTTTTTTTTGTGTTGTTTTGATTTTGCAGTTCCTGATCCAGGAAGCTTCAATAATAGTGTTGCTGATCAGCAGGTTGGTAGTTGCAAGTTTTGATCTTTGTTTTAGCCAGTTTTATTGCTATTACGCAGCACACTACTCAATGTTGTCTTTTCTTTCCATTAAGCTATTTGTTGTGCTCATTAGGCTGTTCTAGAGACTGTTGCTCGAGTTAAGCCAAAGAAAAATGAAACCAAGACCAAGGAAGAGAAGTGAGTTTTCCTGATGCTTACTTTGCCCTGTTTGGAGTCGATTCGTTCAAGTACTGGCTGTTATTTACTTTGGTTTCACAGGTTAAAGCAAACTATAACATATGAGTATTTTGTTCTAGATCGTTCTTCAATTTGGATAGCGAGAATGGCGTAGAAGATACTCCCAGACTGATAGATAGGAAGGTAAGCTTAAATAGTGTTCTGTCATTTGTGCTATATATTTATGAAGAATGCAATCGTTTGTAAAAGCATTCTCGTAATGTGACTTTGCTGCAATTTTAATCCAGGACAACGTTTTTATAATGTCCAATCCAAAATCCAAGTACCCTGTACTGCAGCTAGATTTAAGGTAAGTATAGCATTCGTAAGATAAGTTCTTCGTTCCGTTATATTTTGTTAGTATCTAACTTACTGTTTTTTTGATTGGGGGCATCTCTCTTAAAACGGTACATCTGTAGGCTGATATCAGATTTGGTTGTCGTCATTGTTTCTGCTACTTGTGGAGGAATTGCCTTTGCATGCGCTGGTCAACCGGTCAGCACACACTTCCTTTGCAAAGCTTGTGACTTTCAATATTATTTTGTTAGCATTGAGTATCCAGCTTTCCGGCATTGTAGAAACGATTTTGCTAGCTCTTAACTGATCTAACCATGACAGCGTTATTTCATTTCTACACTACTTATATGGCAGGTCATTACTGGGTATCTATTGGCTGGATCTATAATTGGACCGGGCGGGTTAAGCTTTGTTAGTGAAATGGTGCAGGTAGCTTACATCAGCTTTAGTATTTCAAAGTTCATCTTTGTTGTCTTCATATACGTTTGGAAGTTTTCATGAGTACTAGATTGCCTGGGACAAGGACTTGATTTATAATTTTTTGTGTAGCACAGGTTGAAACAGTAGCTCAGTTTGGTGTTATCTTTCTCCTTTTTGCTTTAGGATTAGAATTTTCTGCAGCAAAGGTTTGCATGTTTCCACTCTCTTATATTTGTCTGGTTTCTTTGTTCGAACCGATTGAAACTCTTGAGACAGTTATTGTACTGTGTGGTTGCAGCTTCGTGTGGTTCGTGCAGTAGCTATTCCAGGAGGTCTTCTTCAGATATTTTTGTTCATGTGCTTGAGTGGAATAACAGCCTCGGTATGTTCTAAAAGTGTAACAAGCGACTTAAGAATGATTTGTTAGGAATTTTGTGGTATGAATCATGAATATAGAGTACATTCAGCTGACTTAGCTGTTTCTTCATTGCAGTTATGTGGCGGTAAACTAACAGAAGGAATATTTGTAGGCGCATTTCTTTCGATGTCATCAACAGCAGTGGTATATTCTAATTTCCTTTGTGTACTTTTGCATACTTATGTGGTATTGAACGTCTTTGCATGTAAAATAATATTTTGACGTTGTCTGTTAGAATATTTCCCTTCTGCTCACTCACTCTCACTTATTTTATCTTTTGTTTACTGTGCCGGTTATGTTTTCTTAAATTACTCTTTAGACTTGATTGTCATATTTCATCCTTACCTCCCCATGGTTCTTGTACCAGGTTTTGAAATTTTTAATGGAAAGAAATAGCATAAGTGCTCTGCATGGCCAGATAACCGTGGGAACTCTTATTCTTCAGGTATCTACCTGATAACTCTCAAAACAATAGCTTCTCTAATATCATTTTCACATATTTGTTTCCTATTATTCTTAAACTGCATTTCCTCAGGTAGTATGCTGTATGCAGCAAGTACTTTTATTAGAACTTTAATTTACTGTTTCATGAATCACCAGGATTGTGCTGTGGGCTTGCTGTTTGCTCTCCTGCCAGTTCTTGGTGGCACATCTGGTGTCCTTCAAGGAGTGTTGTCCATGGCTAAATCGTATGTATTTTTCTCTTCCACGAATTTCTGTGAAACTATCGACAATACCCTGCTTCCTTTGTTCACTTGTTAGTTTCGGTCTAATCAAACCAAGTTTTTGATACTATTTTTTTACTGGGTGGTAATTTTTTTCCAGGTTGGCTATTTTGATTGCGTTTCTGGGAGCTTTGTTTGTATTGTCCCGTACCTGGGTACCTTGGTTTCTAAAACTTATGACAAGTCTTTCTTCTCAGGTATAAACACATTTTTTTACCTGCTGCCGTTTTGGTCTCTACTCTCTAGATTGTTTATCAACTTAAGTGTTTTTCAATCTTTGACAGACTAACGAGCTCTATCAGTTGGCCGCTGTAGCATTTTGTTTACTTGTCGCTTGGGTTAGTCTGATCCCTTTGTTCTTCTTAGCTATTGGCTGTTTACACGTGTGACTCTCGAATTTTCAATTCTTAAATCCAGTATCGTTTTGGCTTCTTCAGTGTAGTGACAAGCTCGGTCTAAGTCTTGAGTTGGGTTCCTTTGCGGCAGGAGTGATGATCTCAACAACTGATCTCGCTCAGCATACTCTTGAGCAGGTAAGATGTCAAGTTTGACTCTTTCGAACTAGAGGGTCTCTACCCATTTTTTTGGCCACTCTCTTATTTTGAAAGTGTCTTTCTTGCTTATATACTATCTTGACTTTTCTTTGGCACATATTACCAAAGTTTACCATATATACCTGTTCTGATCGCTTCTGTTTCCCTGCAGGTGGAACCCATCCGCAATTTTTTTGCAGCACTGTTCCTTGCTAGTATTGGCATGTTGATACATATGCACTTCTTGTGGAACCATGTTGACATTCTGCTAGCAGCTGTGTTACTGGTGATAGTGATAAAGACCGTGGTAGTTGCGATTGTTGTTAAAGTCTTTGGATACAATAACAAAACTGCAGTACTTGTAAGAAATGAATCCTTCTTTCTTTCCGCTTACACATATAGAGAGGGGCCTCACAGTTTTCTTGTCTATAGGTTGGAATGTCCCTTGCACAGATTGGGGAATTTGCTTTTGTTCTGCTAAGTCGAGCATCTAATCTTCACCTAATTGAGGTAAGAAATAAAAATGCCTCTGTGATTATTTTGATGCTTAGTTATATGTTAGCATATATCTTCCAAACCGTGTGTGGCCATATAATAGCTTTCGCATAATTTGCTTCTGGTGGAGCGATAAGTAACAATGAAGAGGTTTGTGTTTATTTGCAGAGCAAATTGTACCTTCTGCTTCTGGGAACAACTGCTTTAAGCCTGGTATGGTCTATTTCCACATCATATGTATAATACGTTCATATTGAAAAACGAATAAACGAATATTGACACGGAAGTTGCTTTATCAATGAATAACAGTAGATTTCACATACTTCAGTATCAATATTGTATACTTACTAAACAAAGTAAATTATGTAACAGGTAACAACACCATTGCTATTCAAGTTGATACCAGCAGTTGTACATTTAGGAGTGCTCTTACGGTGGTTCTCTCCCGACAGCTCAACCGAGGTAAATACAAATCATCTCCGTCTGTGTCTCTCACAATGACTTTGGCTCAAACTCAACTTTGAACTTTTATCTTCAATCTGTACAGATTGGTTTCAAAGGAGAGTTGTATCACTCAGAGAGCGCAAAGCGTATATCACTGATGATCCAAGGTTCTCTTCACGACTCTTGAAGTGTTGATGATATGTTGACAGCATAACACGCAACATCAAGCCACATTTCATCTCAAGCTAGGCAAAGGCAATGAATGGGAGCTTCCGAATGTATAGATGCTTTGAGATATCAGAAGTGAACCCCCCTCCAGAGGAACCTGTATAAAATCTCTACACGAAGATAATTACAGAGACTTGTAACTTCACTTCAATTTTTTTTGCTTAATGTTTTGGATTCTTTTTTGAGTAAAAAGGTAGGTAGAGGTTATTTTTTAGTTTGTTTTCTTTCTTCTCCAACGTATTGTAGTTAACTAGTGATGATACCAACCGATAAAAGCTAAGGCTCCATCTTATAAATAAAGAGTTTTTGAGTTAAGCGATTACAAAGTACAAACACAAATTTAATAAAAGAATATTTGAATTGATACGCCAAATATGAGAGGAAAAATACAATGAATCAACGTGTGTGGTGGCTTTAACATTTCGTGGGAACCCGAGTTTTTATTGGCTTTAGCTTCAAACCAAGACTCTCTGGAGAAAGAAGCTCTGGCGAAATACATGACGGACTGAGTGGACTACGGGGGCTATCGCTAACCCGACCAGGCCGATACAATCCAAACCCCATGAAAAAGAACTCCATTGGTATCAACATTGCATGTGGTTGCTCTTCTGTCACCATTGATCCACACGCTTGCACCTCCAATTTCAAACAAAAAACAATCAAAACATGTTCCAAGAATCTAAAAGCCTGAATCTGTAATATCAGAGATGAGCTACGAGCTACCAGAGCTGTTTTTACATTAAACCGCATACCTCAACCAAGGCGCTGTATTTTCTGTCCAATGCTGTCACCATGTGAAGAGTTTCAGAGTGGAAAGGAGATTGGTCGCCAACAAAGATGAGTGTTCGGCATTTCAAACTCTTCAATCCATCAGTTAAGTCATGTCTCCTGTTAACTGCTTCCAGAAACCGCATAAGACAACTACCGTGTCTTTCACCTAGCAGCTATATAAACATATCATATGATACAACAACATTATTACAACGATGATGAAAAGCCATACAATCATCTGGAGACTACTACTAGGTTTAGCACTCACTCTTCTGCATTCATGTACCACATCCCGCTCTGGAACTTCAGAGCTACCACGAGCTTCCTGTCGTAATTTAAGAACAAGATTAATCGGTAACTATTAATTATATCCGGGTTTCATTAAGAAATCACAAGAAAGATTACCTTACTGAAGTACCTCTGAAGGAAAATATCTTTTAACAGTCCAGACATGCCATAGTAGTACAATAAGTTTGACACAACCTGCAGGAAGTTTTAACATCGGCTTATTAGTCTGGATGCGAAAGAAGTGTGGTTTCCCCCTTTTGTAGAGTCATATAAACTATGATGGGAAGATAAGAAAAAGAAACCTTGTAATAAAACCATTCAGACCATGAGGGTGCTTTGCATAGAGGCGATATAAGAATCAAACCCAAAACTCGTTCTTTATGTTTAATCTGCAACCATAAAACAATCACTGATAAGTAATGAGATACGTTATTGTATATGTTCTGAGAATATAGCTACAAATAAATCCTCAAGATGCCTCAATGAGTACATACAGCAAACAAGGAAAGGATGTAGGCACCAGCTGTGATCCCCATGCACATTACTGCCTCAAGGCTGCAAGAGACATATAGATAGTTAGAGGATAATAGCGGAATTACTCTTGTTATGATTGAGAGTTAGTCGAAACATGAGTCAAGTTTTACCTAAAGAAGTTCAATACTTCAAGAATCTGGTCCGCGAGGTCTTCAACAGAAGGTGACGGATCATTGGAACAAACTGGAGCAGCTCCGAACTGCAAAAACTCTTGTGGAAACGATGGAACCCAACACAACGTGAGCAAACAGCAGATACAAAGAAAAGAATGAACTGTATCAAGACAATCAGTTTTGCAAACCTCATGTCCTGGGGGACTAATATGGTAGATGCAGAAATTATGGAGCAGTAAGGACACCGCTTCAGGGCATAGAAACAATCCTTGGAAACACGACATATCTAGCAGACATAAAAACACACAAGAATCTAAAATAAGATTACCAAATGATGTGAAAATGAAAACAAATCATCTACCAAATGCATATTCCACATTCTTACAGTTTAGTGCTACATCTGGATAAGTGATCAATGCTGGTTTCTCTTGATCTCCATACACTACAACTGAAACTGAACCATGGCAAGTTTTGACATGATGCTCCTGCAAGAGATAAGAAAATAAGCAAGAAACGAATCAGTCTACATCCAAATTAAAAGAAAAATAAACAAAACCACATGCTCCATTCTCATATCCCCACCATTATCCTTCATCCAAAATCAGCTCAACATTTAGAAACCAAAATAATCTCTTAATTTCTGTTCTTTAAATCAGATACAGCTAAGAAAAGGAACATTCCAATTTTGTTCCAGACAACAAAAAATATCAAGGACCTCAAGAGATTCTCCCATGTGCAATGATTCAGAAAAATCAGTAAGAAGAGATAACTTATGGCTAAAAAAAGTCGGACATTATATATCAATCATGGAGCCACAAAAAGATACCATTTTGAAGGGAATCTCTTGGACCTTTTATGCAAGAAGAACAAAGAATCAAACTAAAAGAAACACCCAACTTGTAGATTTCAGATGAAGGATCATCATAAGACAAAGTGAAACAACTTTTTAAGTATTAATCTTCCAAGTTGTAATTAAATTAAGCATTCAAACTAAAATCAAGAACATGATATGACAAAAAATCAAGAAACTGAAGCTATAGATACTAAAAGATTCAAGAAATCAGGAAGCAATGGCAAAATCTCCCTTCAATTTCCCACTGAGATTAGATGCTAATTAGGGAAACTAAAAAACCCAGAAGAGAGAAAACGAAATGTGAGTGTTCTAAGTGCCTGAGAGAGAAGAAGACAAAAGGAGAAAGTAAGTAAATTTGGTAGCTCAACGTGTAAACAAACCTTGCCACCATTGTAGATCTCTTCAATGTCGAGTGAGACGTCGTCGTTGAAACCCACCATGACCCGAGAAACCAACCCCCAAAGACTGCGCCTTTCTTGCTCTTTCTATCTTGAAATTGAAATTGAAAGATAACAAGAATAATAAAGTCTTAAGCTTTCTTGTGGGTACTATTATTTGCCTTAGATTGTACGCTTCAACGGCTCTTTTGAGCTTCACTTTGTCTTCTTCTTCGATGGAATGGACCACTCTATCTCTCTCTCTGTCTCGATGTCTGTGTCTGTGTCTTTATAAGCAAAGCCGCGTTGCGTTTAATGGCCCAGCGGTTAATCAAATCATTCCCACCGACGCCGGTGACTCTTTCTTTTTGGTTTTGATTTGCACCGAACCTCAAACGGCGCCGTTTCTTTAATCATTTTCTCATTTTATTTATTTGTTTTTCTTCGTTTATGATTGGTCACTTGAGGATCTTCCTAGTTCCTTTATTCATATAAACATGGTTTTTATATAATCATGATTTAGTTTTATTATGTCGTTTTGTCAAATTTACGACTAAGAAAATACAAATTTGTCAGTGTCCTAGTAAATTTGAAGTTATGTTAGATTAATAAATTTGCCATTTTATATGCTTGCTTTTTCACGATTAATCTATTACACAATCAAGAAAATTTTGATGTCATACATGATAAAATAGGATACCTTGTACCTTGTTGCTTATTAGAAGCGATCAATCGTATTCTCTCTTTCTTACGTACAATTCGCTTGAACATGAAATCATAAGAAACTCGGTCCAGCGAACCATGACCCGAAGACACAACTGATTCAATGTTCGGCCAGTCCGGTTTTCAAAGCATTGCATAAACCAAAAAAATATCATTTCTAAGATCCAAACAAGTTGTATTACAAGGAGGTATCAACTTAAAAAGTCGTAATTAAAAGATTTGCATAAGCTTCACATCCTCTACATGATCTAGAAAGGTGTAAATCTTACTATCTTTAAACGCTTCCATTCCTTGCATTTCAACCTTTTTGATTGTGTTTCTCTCGAGACTGTGATCGGTGCAAGGTGGAGTCTAGTTGGTCGTTAAGTGAGGAGATGAGAATGAGGTTATGGAAGAGATGGAAGATTCAGAGGCTGAGAGGGATGGTGAAGAAGAAGCTTGTGGAGATGGTGAATCTGATTTTCCTCATGCTTACTTTTTTGTAAGATATTTGTGTGAGATGGAGAATTGTTTTGGCACTTTTGCTCCGTTTCATGATGCTTCGAGGGTTCTTGAATGTAATGTTAATTTGTGGATGCTTTAAGGATGATGAAGTTGGCGGAAATCAACGAGTCTAGAAGGATTTGACAGTTTTTGATATATTCAACAGAAAATCTCAAGCTGGTTCTGCTATTGATGCAAGTAGACTTGTCTTGGTCACATAATGTTTGTATGTTCAAATTGGTCCAATTTATGTCTTTCCTTCTAAATATTCTACAGAATCGATTGTTAATGGTCTGCGAAACTCTATAGCCACATAACAAGAAAAAAACTATAACCTTTTCCACTTCAAAGCTGTGAATTGTTCAGAACAGCATGAGCTATTGATTGGTTGAACAAACACCATAAAACCTCTTTTCAATTCTTAGAGAAGTCGATTTATCCCAGCTTGCTTGGGCAGCCAACATATTATCTTTCAAAACTACAGTATATAAAACCTACAACAATATATGTATGCTCAACAACATTACTTATCACATTCATTAGAATCAATAATACAAAGCGTTTATTTATTAAAACCAGGGCCGGTTATATGCATGTGCAACTGGTGCATTTGCACTAGGTCCAACAAATTTAAGGTCCAAATTCATAGTTTTTCTATTATTTAACTATTTAATTATGCTGAAATTTTATAAAATATTTATATGTAAAGGTCCCAAAATTCTATTTTAAAAGTAATATTGAGGTCCAAAATTAATAAACAAAAATAACAGTTCAAATAGCTATAAAATTCAAAATAATTTATGAAATATATCCAATTTTTTTTATGAAAGATAGAATTTTTTTTTGTATGGCACCGGGTCTTGCCGATGAGTGAGCCGGGCCTGATTAAAACATTTCATACCATTTGTCAGCATAAAGTTTAAAAGACATTTTGAAGAACAAAAATATACAGTAACTCCGGCCTTGGTAACCTGGAGAATGGAAGGAGGCATGCATCGGGAGGTACACATAATGCAAAGTGGCCTACAGATTGAGGCGTTGAATACAACTTTTGCATATGAACTTCTTACTGAAACTGGCATAGCATATGAGAAGTCTCCTACAACGCAGGAAATATGCAATGTGACACCACAATCATTGCATGTATAAAACCATTTCTTTGGATTCACTTTTGTTTCATATGCTTCACACCAATATTCTCCATCCACACTGCTTTCACCATAAGACAAGAAGAGAGGATGATCGTCGTACCTATGCCTCATTACCTTTTCCGGTAATAAAGCGCACTTGAAGTCTAAATTAAAGTCACACTCATCACAACTTAACCTTCCTCTGTTTATTCGTTCGCCACATGCAGTACAAGACTTAGACGACATATCATTAGAATAGTATAAAGGATGTTGATGGCTTCCGTGTGGAAATGGTTCTGAAATCGAACCGCATCGTACATCTAGACATTTAACACCAGTCAGAGGCATGTACCTGAAACCGGTAAACCTTTGCTTACAAAGATGACATGTAAACTCTCTGCCTTCAAAATTTGTCTCTAGCGTAAATGCTTGATTGTGGCACACATGTCGTTTCTTCCGAGGAAGGTTAGCACATTTTTGGTGGAGAATGAAATCACACTGCTCACAACTGTAGAACGGTTCTGAACAAATCTGGAAGACACATGCTTGACAAAATGTGTTTTCATGTAGAATCATTCCCTCCTTGTTGATTCGTAAGTTGTGATCATGGCTAAAATGTTTTATCGTCAATCATCTGGAATGGCGAAATCTCCTCTTCTTCGGGCATCCCTTCCAGTTCTATCATGTCCCAAACATCATTTCTCGTTGCACATCTTGAATGAACAACATAGTTAGAACATTTGGAGGAGCAAGAATAAGCCCCATAGAAGCCATCCACTTTCTTACGACAAACTCTGCATTGCCACTTTCCATGTCCAAGACGACGAGTATAAGAGATGCGATGATCGTGGCGGTTGATGTTTATAACTCGAGGTAAATCGATACACTCCCGATGAATCATGAAATTGCATTGAAGACAGAAATAAGGGCTTCGATCACCTTGTGTCCCACACGCATTGCAAGTGAAATCTATATGTCTTGGAACAAGATGAAGTTGATGTTCATGGGTCGTCGAGCTTACAACACCAAGCGGTGGTGGGTTGCTCATACACAAACTGCATATGCTGAAATTACAAACATCACAGTGGTGAAGATGTTGGTCCGACTCTTTCCCGCAAAGAAGGCACTTATTGTCAGCGTAATCGGGTGCTCCACATGTAAGTAGCTTGAGTGGGTGTTTGGCGTGGGAAGTGTGGTTTGCTTCTGGAAAAAACTTGGCACATATTACATGGAAGACTGATTGGCATTGATAACATTTGTAACATTGTTCTAGTAAAGAAAGAGAAACTATATGGTTGCACGTTTTACAACTCACGTCGTCTGAACCGCCAGATGTTATCGCTTCATTAAAGAGTTCAAGTGGATGCTCGTGCACATTGGTGATTTCAAGAGTAAGAGTTGCGCCCGTTTCCCTTGCACAAGACAAATCCAGCTTGAAGTCACAAATTGAGCAAAAATAACCATTTTGAAAAGAACCTTGACAATGACTACAAGTAGATGATTGGCGATTTAGGAGCAGCTTGAGAGGATGGTCGGGATGAGAAGAGTGGTTGATTTCTGGTAAAGATTCCGCGCACTCCTTGTGAAACACAGAATTTTGACACCCCAACTCATTGCAACAATAGCCTCCGTAAATGTATCCATAATGCCCACACCCTTCACAACATCTCTTTAAAAAGCGAGTAATAGTTAACAAAGGATGTTTGTGAATGGGTAACTCTGTTTTTTCCATGGTGATTTGAGCCCGAGCTCTCTATTATGGGTGTTTTTTTGTTCCTTTCGGATTTGGATTAGTTAGTTAATTATAGCTATAATTACAATTAACGTTATTTAATGATCACTAATGCATATAAAGCAACGCCACACCACGTGAAATGGTTCTTTTACCATTGAGATCCACAATATGTGAGAGACCCAAGACAACTAAAATCTAACCTAGCTAGGCGTTACTTTCCATGTTTTTATCATCTTTCTTTAATCTCCTCAATATTACCGTTTTCAGATAACCAAAAAAACTGTAACTCGAATCTCAACGTGCTAGAGCTTAGCAAGAAGAAATAGCTCTAGGGAACAATGAATGTACCACCATTGTAACAGAGAAGAGAATCGGAGAAGAAGAATAAAATATCTTCTATCTTGTTGCTTATTAGTAGAACCGATCAAAATTCTTTCTTTCTTACAATTTGCTCGAACATGAAATCTTAAGAAACTCGGTCCAACGATGATAAACTATGACCCGAAGACACAACTCATTAAATGTCCGGCCAGTCCGGTTTTCAAAGCATTGCCTAAACCAAAAAAGTATCATTTCTTGCTATCTTTAAACGCTTCCATTCCTTGCATTTCAACCTTTTTGATTGTGTTTCTCTCGATATTGTAGTAGAAAACGTAGAAAGGCCTACCTTCTACCAAATGGAACACAAATTCCTTTGTCTTAGTCATTTTCTTGCTATTTTTTTGAAAAAAAAAAAAAAAAAAAAAAAAAAAGTCATTCCAACACAACGTAAATCGGTGGTTCTCATCATACCATGCAACATCGCAGGAAATAGGTATGTATGCTTCGACCATTCTTGTTTTTCGGCATCTTCTAAAACCCACAATTCAATACTTGTTGTTACTCCAAAACGGACAGAAGAAATGTCATACAAACCTAGTTTCTCATTGTAGTTTATTAGAAATCCATGATACATTGCTCCAATAATTAATCTAAACTCCTCAGACTTGACATCAAAGCAAACTATACTATCGCTAGAATAATCGTTGTTCACCGCAGCATGGTAATACAAAAGACCATCGTTGCATATCATTGATACGTTCTCCATGACATGTTTCCAGTTCCTAAGGTCAAACCATGATGCTCATAATAAAACTCACTGTTGTTTTTTTAATATGTAGAGGCCAATACCTTGAATTGTTTATCAATCGGATCATACCCACAAAAGTTACTCTTCCAAGAACGCCCATTCTTCGATTTGGGTAATGGTAAGGATTGTCCCGTGCTAGGGTTACATATCACCAGCACCGTATCATATTTTTGACTTATGATCCGCTCATGTCTAAGACAAATCAAACCATTGACAGGAGTAGCAATTTCGTATGAACCATCAACGGAGAAATTCGTATGATAATTGGCAATTACAGGAGACGAGTTCTCATCAGCAGGGCCGGCCCAAATGAATTTGGTGCCTGAAGCAAAAAAAATTATTAGCCCATTACCAGATATTAAATTTTATTTCTAAGAAAAATTGTAAAACTGTGGTTTACGGGCTTTAGCCCAGGGTCGGCCCTGCTTATCAGGATATTGAGGTGACGAAAAAAGAACACCTCACAGCCTTTTATGTAAGCGAACAATAGCTTCGGGCATGCCCATGACCATGATCGAGTCAAGAACAACTCGGTGAAATCTGGACGGCTAAGTATGGAGGCCCAAAGCTTTGATACGCAACGACATCTCGCTATAGAATTCACCGTTCAAGAATATCTCGATAATGAGATCAATTGGGATCGATACTGAGTTTTCAGATCCATCCTCTAAGGTTGGAGACGTTTTCATGCCGAAATAAATAAACCCTAAGAGAGAGACTCCTTGTAGACGAAGAAACAATGCTAGATAATGGGCTGGAAGAAAGCCCGTGTAGCCCATAATTTGCAAGCTTGTATAAGGCCCAACCAAATAACCTAACGAGTTTAAAATTCAAACATGACAAACGGTGCCGTTTTATCATGTCTCATTTTTCCTCCATATAAATCGTTTAATTTTGTAAAAACCCTAATTGACGACGGCTAGTAAGATGAACGACGGCGGAGCTAAACCGGAGACACTGCTTAGGGTTGCAGAAATCGGTGGAAGAGGAAGGAGTTTGGTGGCGGCACAGTCTCTTCGTGCTGGACAAGTTATCCTCAGAGAGTCTCCTCTCCTCCTCTACTCTGCTTTCCCATTTCTCTCCTCCTCTGTTTCTCCTTACTGCGACCATTGTTTCCGGTTATTAGCTTCATCGGCGCATCAGAAATGTCAATCTTGCTCTCTCGTCTCCTTTTGTAGCCCCAATTGCTTCGCGTCTCACACTCCTTGGCTCTGTGAATCTCTTCTCCGGCTTCACCAATCCTCCTCTGCATTCTCCGATCAACCTTCTGATCGCCAAGTCCAAGCTCGTTTCCTCCTCTCTGCTTACAACCTCGCCGCTGCTTCTCCTTCTGATTTCCAGATTTTGCTCTCTCTCCAAGGTAGTGGCTGCAGCAATGGAGATCCTTCTTCTTCTGCGACTGATTCTGGGTTTCTGCATTCTCTTTTATCAGCCGTGTGTCCACCTCTTCCGGTGTGTATCTCGCCGGAGCTCACGGCAGCTTTACTGGCTAAGGATAAAGTTAACGCCTTTGGTCTGATGGAACCGTTCTCTGTTTCGAATGATAAAAGATCAGTGCGAGCTTATGGGATTTATCCAAAGACTTCGTTTTTCAATCATGATTGTCTTCCTAATGCTTGTAGATTCGATTATGTTGACTCTGCTTCTGATGGTAATACTGATATCATCATTAGGACGATTCATGATGTTCCTGAAGGAAGAGAAGTTTGTTTAAGCTACTTCCCTGTGAACATGAACTACTCGAGTAGACAAAAGAGATTGCTTGAGGATTACGGTTTTAAGTGTGACTGTGATCGGTGCAAAGTGGAATCTAGTTGGTCGGAAGGTGAGGAAGATGAGAATGAGGTTATGGAAGAGATGGGGAATGAAGATGATGAAGAAGAGATGGAGGATTCAGAAGGTGAGAATGTAGAAGAAGTTTGTGGAAATGGTGTGGATGATGAATCTAATTTTCCTCATGCTTACTTTTTTGTGAGATATATGTGTGAGAAGGAGAGTTGTTTTGGCACTCTTGCTCCGCTTCCGCCGAAGACTCATGATGCTTCGAGGGTTCTTGAATGTAATGTTTGTGGAAGCCTTAAGGAGGATGAAGTTGGCGGAAATCAATGAGGAAGGATAGCTTCAAGAATTGATCAACCGGAAATTTCAAGCTTGTTTGATGCAGGCAGACCCAAATAACAAGGGACTTGTCTTAGACCTCATTTTTAACCAATGTTGTTTGATGTGTACGTTTTTTTTTATGCTCAGTTTTGAAAATTAGATTACTCCAGCTCTAGAATTATCTTGGTTTTTTGTTTTCTCCTAGATAGTCTTAAGAATCAATTGTAATGGTCTGTGGAATTACATGGAAACAGTTTTGTTGTGATAATGGAGCATCAGTTTTCTTTGGTTGAATGAAAAATCACAACTTTCTTACTTTTTAAGGTGAAAAATGCAGAATTACATGGCTTGATGATGTTTGCATTGGTGATCTCTATAACTCTGAGTGTTCTCAGTGCCTGAAAGGCTGAAACCATAGCTTCCTTGATAGGTGTTACAGTTCCATCTTCTCTAATGGTCATGTCTACTTGCCTTGGTTTTTGAAGATGAGAGGAACAGGAGAAAAATCAGTTCTTAGAATGGTTACCAAAGAACCAACTAGGACTAAACTTAGATACTTACCAAAGAAGTAGGAATTACAAAATGCCGTTATGGATCCAACGACCCAATTAGTCAATTCTTTCTCTGTATCACCTCATAGTTTGTGTTGAATTGTCAATTTTTCTTTATCTCTAAATATTTTGAACAAGATGAAGAAGGACATTGCAATTCTGAGTGCAAGACAGTTGAGACTGCTTGTCAAAAGGTAACCACTTTAGTGTTTTTCAGCTGAAACATATAAACCAGAGTGACGATTTCTTGCAGCATTAGATTTAGCGCCGATGTGAATATATATATATATATATTTTGGTGGTGTAGGTCATTGGTTACTCTGACACTGATGTTGCAGAGTACATACACATTTCCAAGTCTTATCTCACTTCACTTCACTTTGCAAGGACTTGACTGATACTTGCAGCAAGAACCCACCTCCTGTTCCCAAGGTAACTTCATTTCGCTGCTGTTTCTCCAATATTACATACATCATTAGCATTAGATGGTCTTGCCTTTTGATTGTAGATTTATTGTGATTTGGTTTGATGTATTTGTTTTTTCTCTACTGTTGTCTGTCATTACGTTGGACATAATTGGGACTGGTGAACCATTTGTTCCAAAACCAGCTGGGGATGGACAAAATCTTGAGATCTATGCCAGTCATTAGTCATCACTTCAATCAATCTGTTTCATCAATAGCTTATAGAATTCAAAGGAACATATTTCTGATTTCTTTTCTTTTTGCATATAACATTCATTAGAATTAAATGATAGATAAGTTTTTATTTATTTAAACATATCTCACCAATCACTAGAGTAATCACTCGAGCTGTCGTCTTTCAAAGAAAAACATTTTAAAGAACAAAGTATAGAACAACATCGGGTTTGGAAACCTTAAGAACGGAAGGAAGCTTACATCGAGAGTTACACACAGAGCAAATTGGTCTACAAACAGAGGTGTTGGGTACCAGTTCATCCGCCCATCTCATTCCTGAACCTGGCATAACATGTGAAAAGTCTCCCACAACGCAGGAAATATGCAATATGACTCCACAATCATTGCATGTATAGAGCCATTTCTTCGAATTCACTCTTGTTTCACATGCTTCACACCAATATTCTCCATCGGCACAACTTTCACCATACGACAAGTAAAGAGGATGATCGTCGTACCTATGCCTCATTACTTTTAGTGGTATAAGAGCACACTTGAAGTCCAAACTATAGTCACACTCATCACAGCTAAAGCATATTATGTCCACTCGTTCGCCACATTCATTACAGGACTTAGACCTATCTTTAGATAAGTATAAAGGATGGGGATGGCTTTCATGCAGAAATTGTTCTAAAATTGAACCGCATGGTACATCTAGAGAATACTTACGATTAAGAGACATGTACCTGAAACCGGTGAAGCATTCCTTACAAAGAAGACATGTATTTTCTTGCCAAGTATCATTAGCGTCTAGTGTTAATGGTAGGTTGTCGCATATATGGCGTTTCTTCCGAGGCATGTTAGCACATTTCTGGTGGAGAAGGAAATCACACTGCTCGCAACTGTAAAATGGTTCTGAACAGATCTGGAACACACATGCTTCACATAGTGTGCTTTCATGGAGAATCCCCCCATCCTTGTTGATTCTTATAAGTTATGATAATCATGGCTAATATGTTTTATCGTGTTATCATCAATCACCTCGAATGGTGCAGCTTCCTCGGGCTCTTCGGGTGTCCCTTCTAGCTCTATCATGTCCCATGCATCTTGGCTCGTTGCACATCTAGAATGAACAACATAGTTAGAACATTTGGAGCAAGAATAAGCCCCGTAGAAGCCATCCACTTTTTTACGACAAACTCCGCACGTCCAATTTCCATGTCCAAGACAACGAGTGTAAGAGATGCGATGATCGTGACGGTTGATATTTATGATTCGGGGGAAATCAATACAATGCCAATGAATCATGAAATTGCATTGTAGACAGAAATAAGGACTTCAGTCACCTAGTGTCCCACAAGCATTGCAAGTAAACTCGATACGTCTTGGAACAAGATGAAGTTGATGTTCATGTGTGGTCGGGCTTACAACACCAAGCGGTGGTGGGTTTCTCATACAGTCTCCGCATATGCTGAAGTTACAAACATCACAGTGGTGAAGCCGTCCTTTAAACTTATTCCCGCAAAGAAGGCACTTCTTGTCGGCGTAATCAGGGGCTACTTCAAATGCAAGGAGCTTGAGTGGGTGTTGGGGGTGAGAAGTGTTGTTTGCTTCTGGAAAAAGTTTGGTACACGCCACATGAAACTGTGATTCGCATTGATAACATTTGTAATAATGATCATCAACCAAAACTGTCCAGTTGCACGTTTTGCAATACTGCATGCATGTTACCGTGAAGAATATCATCGGAGAGCTGAATCGGATGGTCATGCACATTGGACTTTTCAAGAATATCGGCTGGTACCTCCGTCGCACTCGCACACTGTTTATGAAACACAGATTCACACCCCAACTCATTGCAACAAAAGTCTCCATAAATGTAACCAAACGCCATGTGAGTCTCGAGACAACTAAATTCTGACGAAGACTTTATTCAATTTGACAATTTCTAATCTTCTCAACCTCACCATTATCTTCATATGAATTAGTTTGTGATCCGCCAAATTGTAAGATGTTTTATATAGAATTCAATGGGATAAAGAAAGCTTTTTGTTCTGAAACACTTGCAAAAATGGAAACAATAGAATTACAAATGAGAATTGTCTATCTCAGTCAGCCTAAGATGATGAAGGAGACTTGTTGGGGATTTTACTTCATCTGAGAGCTTTTAGCGCATTTTGTAGAGTTGCGTCCTTGAGATCTTGCAATGTTGGCCATTCAAAGAATAGCTGAGCTTTATGTCGACATCTCTGGGATTCTTTTTGTTTTGTGATATGGTCATGCTTCCTGTGATTGTTTCACCCTCGCATATGGTTAACACATCTTCCAGGTACAGCACAGTTTGTTTCCAGTGTGTCGCCCGAGATTTTGGTCCTGCATTGCATTTTTTGATTGTATCATAAGTTCCAAATATCAACAAAGAAAGCTAGCATCAACATAATTGTATGTTGTTTTGGGAAGCCGAATAATCAGAAAACTATCCAGGAAAAGTGTGAACCTGTTGAGAAACCCATCTTCTTGTGGCACATGGTGAATGCTACATCAAAGTAGGCTACAAGGGCATGGATATGGTCATTTCGTTGTGCGACAAGCTTGAATGGAGCTGTGAAGGAAGCATCTCCAGAAGCCATCTTAGAGATATCCATGGTCTTTAGTAAAAAAAAGCCGAAAAACAAATGAAATTTACATTAGCAACAAGTAACTAAGGAGATATAAGCAGCTACTCTAGCACAATCTTACTTACCTTCAGCAGCTTGCTATCAGTCACGACTTGGTTCCCGTCCACGGTGTCAACAAGCGGTTCCGTAATTGCTCTTCTCTTGATGCACGACATGTCAAACCCATACACGTCGTCCCAAACTGTACAGGAAATGATAAGAGGCAAAGCCAATTGCAAAAAAATCAGGTTTCCAAGATAAATGTTAGCAAAAAAGTAAGACAAGATCTTTCATATTACTTACACTCTACTTTGTCTTCTTTATAATGAGCATCCTCTATGGCCGTAAGATACAGAGAAGCTTTATCTGGTAGAACAATTCCACCATCAACCTAACCAAAAAGAACCAAAAGCACACAAAAATGTTCAAAGCTATGATGAAGCCCATGGTGGTCATAACTTAAACAAGGGGATAAAAATGTCACTAACAAGCCATTTATCGCGAGCATACAAGACGGTGTCAAGCATATTTTCATACAACAAAAAGTAACCCATCCATTCAGAGATAATCACATCCACTTTAGGAATCGGAAGCTCAATTTCCTCAATCTTCCCTTTCAAAACCGTTATAACTGCCACAAAACTCAAACAATTATTTCAGTCTTTCAGACAACTTCCATCAGACTATTATCCATTTGAATAACACACTAAACACATATGTACCATCCGAAAATCCATTCGACTTAACAATCTCTCTTGCGGTGTCAGCCATTTGAGAACATTCCACCTATTTAAAGAATCATTTGTCAAATCACATGCACCCAAATCACTAAGAGCCAAACTTTGAATAACAGAGAAGATAAAGAGACATACTGCGTAAATGTGAGCTGCTCCTGCTTTAGCACAGAACAAAGACAAGATTCCAGTTCCAGCTCCAACATCAAGAACAATTTTGTCCTTGATAAGAAACTTGTTCTTGTAAATAACATCTTGATAACACTTTGTCCTCACTACATCTTTTAACATTTCCTAATAATAAGAACATCACCATCGAAAACTGTTATACACAATGCCTAGTTTTTCAGAACAAAGGATTCAAATCAAAAAAAGCAAGAGACTTTACTTACTTCATGAATACCTGCAAAAATAAATCAAATGGAAACAGAGTAAGAACATTGCAGAGAATAAGATAACATGAAGGAAGCAAAAGTATACAATGAAAGGTCAAGGATTTTACCAAAATGAGAGTAAGAATCGAAGTAGTAATCGGCGCTGGTTATGTCATCAGCAACATCGGCATTGTTGTCACCTCCATCGTACATTGATTCATCAGCATCTTCGAAGTGTAACTTCGTCTTCTGAGTTTCATCAGAGCCGTTGTTGTTGTTCTTCGTACTAGTCATTTTTTGCGGCAAAGAGAGAGAGAGAGGTTTTGGTAGGCTAATAACAGATTCGAATACGCAAAGATTTTAGTTAGGGTTTTAGGATACGAACTTTATGTGTACGATTCTATTTCAGCCGCCGGTTCAATTTTGATTGACATATCGGTTTGGTTTATACCGAGCCGGTTCGGTTGTTCTCATATTTTATTATAAGCAGTGTATATGAAATTGGAGGAAAAGATTCTGACGCTGTAAGTGGCGAGCACGGCCAGAAGGTATGGCTTGCTCACGATCACCGATTCCTTCTTCTTTGATTTCGTTTTAGATTCTGATTTTTGTCTGAAATTCTTCTTCTTCTTTTGGGTTTTTGTCTTTATGGCTTTAAATTTTGTTTTTTTTATTTGTGTGATTTGAGTCTCAGATCTATTATGTAATCTCTTCACTGGGATAATACTTTTTGGGTTTTGAATTGCTTAATTTTTCCACAATTGGGAATCGTTCGATTTGTTATCTGGAATTGGGGACTAGGGTTTTAGTGATTTAGCTTGCTATGTGTGAATTTCATGAAAAGCCTTATGCTTTGGATGAACTTGATTATTGAGATTACATTTTTTCAGCTTCTGTTTTAGGTATTGGATTTTATCGTGGAGGTGTGTAATGAATCATGAACTTGTATATGATGAGCTAACCTCTCTTGCTAGGGCTTAATTTCTGAGTCTAAATTGGTAAAAAGCTAAACTTGCTTTCTATGATTTTGAAGGATTATTGATATAGAAACATGGCATCAAAATTGGTACAACTTCAATCAAAGGCATATCAGGCTTCAAAGTTTGTGGCCAAGCATGGGAATTCTTACTATAAGCAATTGTTGGAGCAGAACAAGCAATACATTCAAGAGCCTGCAACTGTAGAGAAATGCAGTGAATTGTCTAAGCAATTGCTCTACACTCGTCTTGCTAGGTTAATACCTTTATCCTATGGACATATTTCCAATGGCCTTGCTCAGATTATCTTTTATGTCTACTTTAGAAACATTAATCTTTAGATAATGCTGAGGAAATGTGCAAGTTGGATTTGCATTTCGCGCCAGTAGTTAGCCTTTTTTGCCTTTTAGACTTTGATAGAACTGAAAAAAGATATGCCTGAGAACTTTGGTGTTATCCTCTAGTAGCTTTTGTCCTCAATGGAATAGTTCTGGTATATCTCTGATGATTAGGTTAATCTATGTGCCTGTCTTGTTTTAACTGTCTCGATAACACAGTATAAGCAGCACATTGTGTTTTGCTATCAGTTGAAGAGTTTGGCTCTCTGTAATTTGCAATCTTGATTCTGTAGCTAAAACTCTTCTTACTAATTTACAGCATTCCCGGGCGTTACGAAACATTTTGGAAAGAAGTAGACTATGCAAAGAACTTATTGAAGAACAGAGCTAATCTGAAGGTGGAAGATGCAGGAATCGCTGCATTGTTTGGCTTAGAATGCTTTGCTTGGTTTTGCGCAGGTGAAATCGTCGGCAGAGGTTTCACTTTCACCGGCTACTACCCTTGAAATGGAGACAACATACAACAATGTCGCCGGAATATTCTTCCTGACGCTTGTAACTCCCTCCATATGATTCCTCACTGAACTATATACTTCCTCGAATCCATTTATATTTTCAGTATTTTTCCTGAAACCAATGTTTTGGAGCTAAGGGAAAAAAAAAAACCATTTTGGTAAAGCTCTTAATAAGTTGAGAAAAATGCATTTGATACAAGATTCTTCTTTAGATATTTGTAAAATGTTATTCGAAAAGTTTAATATCTGGTTCAATATTTGAAACATCAGAGAATATTAATTTTTAAAAGTGGATGTTAATAGCCGAATAACTTTTAAAAAAATGTAAGAAGAATTGAGAAAAAAAATGCCAAGAAAAGGTAGGAATAATTGAAAAAAATGCCAACAAAAAAGGGATAAGAAAAAAATGTAATTTTGAAGAATTTTTGATAACGTAACTGTTAATTGATGAAATTAAAACAGATATTCACAACAACAAAAAAAAGAACAACAACAGATATTCACAAAGAAAGTCATATTTCTTGTAAAAAAAAACTGTTCTTTTTATTTTGTTTGAGAAACTGAGAAGTATTGGGAGAACCGGAGATCAACGGTCGAAATGATCGTCCAAGATTATAGAATTTATGAAGATCGAGAAAGATCTAAAAATTATCATATCTTAAGTTTAGGAAATTTAACATTATCTCTAAATATATTATTTACATTTATATTTATCTTAGATTAGGAAATCTCATCTCTATATAAGAGAATGTAATTTATAATTTTATTCTTATATGAGAGTCTATTATAATTCTTATTAAACCCCTTTGTGTTCTTACTCTAATCAATTTATCACATTGTTTAATTAAAATTTTAATTTTGCAGCTGATAAACACAAAAATATAAATATTTTTAATACATTTATTTGAGTTGACTCAAGATAAATATTAATTTAACTCAAATCTCAGCGACAGAATATTCAAAAAAAAAAAAAAAAACATTTGTATGTGCGAGAAAGCAGGAAGACCAATGAGATCTTAAGGAGACCCAATTGGAACTTTAGCCACAATTCGAAACCTTAGCGAAGAAGACAACAGCGATTCACAAACATCTACGAGACGTCGACGATGATGATTCGCACTTCTTTGATGCGTTTCGCCGCAGCTTTCTTCGTCGTTGTCTTCGTCGTCCTCGTCGATGTCGTTCTCAGCGAGGTTCGATTTGGTTCTGTGTTTTCTCTGTGAATCTTAGTTTCCAAAATTAGACAAAAGGAATCACATTCTTGAAGACATTGACTTAATTGCCAAAATCTGATTTTGACAATGATTTTTTGCTAATTTCACTTCACTTATACACATGCCTCTGTGTTTTATTGTTTCTTGCGGTAATTTCGAACAATGAATTGATTTTTTGTCTTGTTTGTTGAATCAAATTTTTACAGGAGTGTACAAGAAAGTGCATTGCACAGAATTGTGACAGTAAGATTACATTTTTCTGAAGTTTCCTTTGGTTTTTGAGGAACTTTTTTTAGTTTTTTAGCTTACTACATGTATGTTTGTTTCAGCTCTTTCTATTCGATATGGCAAGTATTGTGGGATTGGACATTCTGGATGTCCTGGTGAGGAGCCTTGTGATGATCTTGATGCTTGTTGTATGGTCCATGACAATTGTGTTGAGTTAAACGGTAAACAAACAAGAGAATTGCAAATCCCTTACTGCTATGTTTTACATGCATCTGCACGAAAAGGTTTAATTACCGTTCTTAGGTGTAGCCTGAACTGGGATGTAGTTTTGGTATTATCATCTGGAAAGGTTCACATTGGCCAAAATTGTATGCCCATTAGACCTTGATAAACAGAGCTGAGATAAACTGAAAATTAACATCTGTAACTACAGATTTAGTATATATGAGTGTAACTTGGCTTGATTAGTCCTTGGATTTGAGAATGCAGTCAATCTGGTCTGTCCGGTTTATCTACACAGATTGTGTGATGCAGAGTGCTAAGATCTCGAGTATGATAATTTCTTATGGCCATCAGGCTCAAATGATCATAAGTAACTCTGCTGCTTTGATTCATTGTTCTTAAGCTATAGTTTCACGGATTCAAATGCTAAACTTTTGGTCTTGAGTTAACACGCTTACGATGAAATAATCGCTTATTTGTTTCCTATTTGCAGGTATGACTAACATAAGCTGTCATAAGAAGTTCCAGCGATGCGTACATAGGCTAAGCAAAGCGATAAAACAGTCTAAAAACAAAAAGGTTGGCTTTTCCACAAAGTGCCCTTATTCAGTAGTCATACCTACAGTGAATCAAGGAATGGATATTGGAATCTTATTCAGTCAATTAGGTAATGATATGAAAATAGAGCTCTGAGTTTTGCTGCTCATATACTCTGGACTTCTTTCAGGCATCACATTGGTGTTGTAACTAAAGCTTACCTCAGATTTTTTTTTACTGACTGGTGATTACCTTAATTATTGCAATTGCAAGTCGCTGATAGATTACATGTATGAAGCGATGGCACTACGTGAATCTGTACTATACACAATGCAAGTTTTGATCGGAAACTCTTCTCTATTCTTATGTTGCATCATATCATGATTTCAAATTATGAATCATGATCAACCAAAGAAAGTGGAATTAGTTACAAGTAGATTATTACTAGATTTGTTTAAGTCACTCTTTGTTACTAGATCAACTTCTTCTTTATATAATCTCTATTGTAAGTGTTCTGGATTATGGTCTATACATCCATCAATGGCAATGGCATCATGCAATGCAAGGTTTGTTTATTTTAATTCACCATTGCAAACCACATACCAAACGTCAAAAAAGAACTATAGATGAAAAGTAAAACTGTTAACGCAAAACATATTCATGTCAAAACTATTCATCAATTCGTAGTAAGTAGTAACGAAATCATAAACAACAGAAAGAAAAACCTAGAACTAAAAAAAAAAAAAAAAACAAGAACTCGGAGAAGTTAACTACTAGACAAAAAAACCTCCGAAAACCAATCTAGTTAGAGTCTAAAAACAAACACACAACTTTCTCCGAATAATAATGGAAGAGCTATTCTGTTATGGACGAAGATTTGAAACTAGGGTTTGGTGAGTCGTCTTCTGTCTCCATCATCTCAGCCTCAGCTTTGATTTCATCGACGAGTAAGGTTGAAGAAGAAGTAGGGTTTTGTGGGTTTTGCGTCACGGGATCAGCGCCAATGTCAAGGAGCGATAAAGAAGTAGAAGCCTCACTAAGATTTTGTGTCACCACCGAAGACGTTGTTTCCATCTTTGCACGTTCTTCTACTTCTTCATCAAACTTCATAGTCATGAGATCCTCGAATTCAAAGAGTTTCGGATACATCGCCGAAGTTTCATCATCATACAACATAGCCGCGACATCCGCCAATGCATAGAGCTTCGACCACATCTTGCCATCGTCGTATGTTGCCATTGTGATCGGACCTAAACTCAGAGTTCTGAAAGCGTGGGTAAGAAGGCAATTATAGAGAGAAAAGTGCCTTTGTTTACTATAAATACTTGTTGGTCTGATATTTACTTTTTTTTTTTTTTTTGTGCACCGGTCTGATATTTACTTAAAAAGTAAAACCTAGCCAAATATTTACTTTTCTTTTTCCCTTTTTCCTTTTTTCCCCTTTTAATTAGCTTAGTACAAAATATTAACTAGGCCTGGCGTTTAATCCGAAACCAAAAATCCGAATCGGAAAAATCGGATTAAAATCCGAACCGTATCCGACAGATTAACCGATCGGTTATTGATTTCTATACCCATGGATATCGGATAATACCCGTTCCGATATCCGACGGATAATCCGAACTCTCCTCTAGAAGTTGTAGAACCTTAGTCGTCCGTTGCAATACGAGATCCATGTCCCTTATCTCGATTTTTCTCCCTAGCAATACGTGATCCACTTTCCTAATCTCGATTTTCCTAGCAATACGGGATCCACTCCTCTAACATATAAGCATAAAACCCTAATCTTTTAATATGGATTTCCTAATCTCTCTTTAAAATATTAATTCTCCTAATCCCTAATGTAGCTATGGTTTCATGTTAGTTCAACTAGTCACTTCAGTTTTGTTTCAGAATTTCAGATTATTTTCAGATTTTTGGTTAAATTGGATATTGAATATCATATCCATACCGATCCGAAATCCGAAATATCCAAACCAAAACCGATCCGAATTCTATAATTATCCGTATGGATATTAGAATCTATATCCAAAAAAAAACAAACTCCGAAAAAACCGAACCGAATTTGATCCGATAACCGAACGCCCAGGCCTAAGATTAACTATTGTAATTCGACACTAATTAATTATTTATTCCAATAAATAAACAAGAATAAAATTAACAGTAACTTTTCTTTCTTTATTTGTTGGTGCAAATAATCTTTGTTAGGTGCAAATAAAGCAACATTCAATTCGTTTTGTCCATAAACCCAAAAAAAACAATCCGTATTAGTGAAGAATTCGGATCTTATCGTACCAAAAGTTCAAAGCAAACAAAAAATTGCAAATGGGAAATTTTAAAATAATCTTATGCATTTTCCAATAAATCATAGGGAATTTTACCAAATGTACCACAATTTTAGAAAATCCTAGCAAATGTATCACATTGCAAATCAATTTAGCATTCATACCACTTTTGGTGTTTGTGTGGTAGAGGTTGGACGATTTTACCCTTCTGCCTGCGTTAAGAATGTGTCAGGGGAATGAGCTACAGTCAGACGCCGGTCGAGAAACGGGGAGCGGCTGCATTAAATGGATGTCTCCAGTTTTTGTCCCCGATTGAAAATTCTTTGTTGCGTCTAGACAGGCCCGTCTCTGGGGGGTGGCAGACTAGGCTAATGCCTAGGGTTCATTGTTAATTTCATAAAATTTCTTAAGGCTAAAAGGCCCAATTTTTTCAAAAAAAAAAATTTAGTAAGAAATTTTATTTTATTTTGAGTTTTGCCATGGGCCCGATGATGAATCGAGACGGGACTGCGTCTAGATCTTGTCCCCGATTTCATCAGTTTGCTCTATTATCATGAATCCCAGATGATATGGTTTTACCAGCCTACAGAGATCTGGATTTACTCGGGGACAACATCTCTTAATTATCCATCACCAGATGATGTGGTTTTACCAGCCAAATATCTGGATTAACTCGGGGACAACTTGATCTTTATTTTATTCTGCCAGAGAGCCGAATACGAAGATCTGGATTTATTCGGTGACAACTTTGTTTTACCGGCCAGAGGGACGAAAACGGTTACCAATGCGCCAAGAGAGAGATAAAGGACGGCAGAAATTTCGGAAGGTCACATCAATCGCAGTTCCTTATCTCACAAGTTGGAGGGTAAAATGATCATTTTATAAACACAATGTGGTATGAATGATAATTGGGATTTAAATGTGGTAGAAGTGATAACTTTTGTGGAAAAAGTGATACCCAATCTAATTTTCTCTAAATCATATATAAAAGAAATAATAATTAATTGGATTGAAAAGTCGAGTCCACGGTATGTATCTGTTTCGTTGAACGTGCACCGTGACACAGAGGATCCTTCCTTTATTTTATTTTTTTGTTTAAAATAAATTACAGTTTTAATCGGTTTTCTCTTTACACGTCAGTGAAAACATATATAAAGGGTTTCGCAGAGTCCAACCTATATTTATTTTTTAATATTTTATTTAATATATGCTTATTCTTCTTCTTCTTCGTCTTCTCTAAATCAATTCACGTTTCTTCTGAGATAGGTCCCCGCGAAAAATTCCATTCTTCAGATCATAGATTTGCATCTGATCTTCATAACAAGCCAAAAAAATCCCATAAGTTATTGCTCTAGCTTTTTTTTTACCCTGATTCGATTTTTTTTTTGTGATAAATTTCGTGTCCATGAAGAAGGTTCTTCAACGAGGTTTTAAGCCTGCTAAATGGTAATAAATTCGATTCTGGGGTTTTCCTTTTTCTTCCTATTCTTCTGTGTTTCTATTTATGATCGAACCTTTTTTTTGTTTTAGAGAAAGAAAAAAAAATCACAACTTTGGATTATACTGTTTCATCCGTTGTTTTTTGATTTTATATAATGCAGCAAAACAGCTTTGCAAATGGCGAATTCACGCCTGAAGATACTCAAGAACAAAAAGGAGATTCAGATTAAACAGCTGAGGAGAGAATTAGCTCAATTGCTCGAATCCGGACACCCTACTGCTAGAATTCGGGTAACCAATTCTTATCTCTGTTTCTGTGATAATCAAACATTGTATATTTGGGAATTTTTAGTATTAGAATCTGAGTTTCACTTGTTTGTTGCTAAAATTGTGAATGTGGTGGTTATGTTTCTCTTCTCAGGTGGAACATGTGGTTAGGGAAGAGAAGACAGTGGCTGCTTATGAGCTCATTGGAATATATTGTGAACTTCTTGTTGTTCGTTTGGGTGTTATTGAGTCACAGAAGTAAGAAAAATTTGTCCTTTATATACATTTAACACTCTTTATTGCTCTTGTTGTTTTTTCAATGTGTAGTGTACTGATTGTTGTGATGTTATTTCAGAAACTGCCCCATTGATCTGAAAGAAGCTGTCACAAGTGTCTTGTTTGCTTCCCAGAGGTTATCAGATGTTCCAGAGCTCTCAGAAATCTTTAAGCAATTCACAACCAAGTATGGGAAGGATTTCTCTACGGCGGCTGTTGAGTTGCGTCCGGATTCTGGTGTGAGTCGTCTGGTAAGTGGCTGTGTTTCTTAATCTATGATGGTGATTTTGTTGTATTAAGAACCCTTGTTGATTATGATTGTTGTTTTTTCTAGTTGGTGGAAAAATTGTCTGCCAAAGCCCCTGATGGTCCAACAAAGGTCAAAATTTTGATGGCAATCGCTGAGGAGCATAATGTCGTCTGGAAGGCGCAATCTTTCGTTGAATCAGATCCAAAAGATACTGAGTTGTTGGTAAGTAACAACAACATTTCAGAGTAAAGGCATCAGTTGTTATATCTACTCGCTATTGTTAAACATAACTTTTACTTTGCTTCTGTTTTAGAGTGGAGCAAGCTCATTTCAGCCAGCGAGTAGTATGAACATGGATTCATCTATAAACTCAAACAAGGAACAGCCTCCAAACGTCCCAGCTCCAGCTACTGTCAATGCATATCATGGATCAAGTGAAAGAAATCATTTCCCAGAGAACTCTTATGCAAATGGGGGAAGATCTTCAAGCCGTAGCAACAATGTTACTTATGGGAAGGCTGATGACTACTATCATTCAAATGCGAGACCTTCTCGTAAGTGGTTTTCTTCTGCTATTTCTGTATTTTTTGTGATTAAATCATTGAACGGAGTTGTTATGTTTGACAGGATCTAGGCCTGATGAAGGAGAATGTAGAAATCCAAATCATGGCTATGCAAATTCATCTTCAAGAACTAAGAATAAGCGGGAAACAGAATTTGTTAGTTCCACAGATGCTGCTGAAGCTGCCGCTGAAGCTGCTGAAAGAGCAAGTTTCGCTGCTAGAGCAGCTGCCGAACTTTCGAACAAAGAAAGGATGATGAGGCAGGATTCAACAGAGTCGCATAGATCCTCTGCATCTGTAAATCTCAGAAACGAGCCTTCACATCGACGTAACCGATCGAATGCACAAAGTGAAAGTTATTCTGAAGATCATTTTTCGCCTAGACGAAATGTTGGAATGCAGTATGAAGATATGGACAGAACCCGGCAAGATAGATATGATAAGGCAGAGGAATCTGAGATTCCTCCTGTAGATCAGTCATCAGGAAGACATTCCCTGGATAACTCGAGAAATAATGGTTCCTTTGGTAAAAAAGGTAGAGAGAAGCAGCCAAGTCAGGATGAGACGGATTTAAATGTTGGTTACTCAGAAGATGTTTACCCCAGGAAGCAGTCAAGCCGGGCTTCATCACATTCACATTCACATTCAAGCAATTATTCTGATGAGAATGACCTTGGCTCAGATTATATGAAGTCACCGAGCATCGTGGAGGAAAACATATTTGCCACTGAATATGATCACCAATCTCAGAGCAGCTTTAAAGATATAGATTCCCATGATCATGGACATAGTTCATTTTTTGATCAACCTAAATTTGATGCGGAAGATAATCATTATGATGAAATTGATGTAGGATTCTCATTGCTTGGCAGCAAAACATCTGCTTCAGCGGCTTCGTGGAGCTTCAAAGAAGATCTTAGTAAGTCCTCATATGGAAAAAACAGCAGCTCGAGCTCACAAGTTTTCCAAGAGAACCTAAGTTCCCCATTATTTGATGATGTCTCTACAAGTCCTCCGGCATCTTACCACGAGCCTGACCCACATGCCAAGTTTGACAATTATGGTCCAAATTCAGAAAGCGACGGCGATCAGCCAAGGCATAGAGGCAAAGTTTCTGGAGATGTACATGAGAAGGGGATTCTGACATCTGATCGATCTCAGAAATTTAAAGTCTCTGATTCTGACGGACATGAATTTTTCCCGTTAGACACAGAGGAACACAAAGATATTTTGAGGAAACAGGAAGAATCAGATTCAGAGTCAGAGCCTCAGCTTGGTCTGAGGCTTGGAACTTTGGGCGGTGGATTTAGGAACAAAAAGACACTCCCACCCTACACAATGAGTTTGGCATCGTCCAAGTCTGAAAAGAAATATATCCAAACCGATGATTTTGGTCAGTCTAGCAGAAAAGATCTTTACAGTAAGAAAGCAAGCAACACCGAGATGAGACCTAGTTTTATGCCTCCTCATCCATCTTCTAGTGATGAAGACGACTCAGACATGCAACTTCCAGTAAGAACAAAAACAAAATCCGATTCCTTATTTAGTCATGCCCGTGTCAACCTTGAAGACTCGGATGAAGAAAAACTCTCAACTCGATCTTCTTCAAGAAGTCAAGAGAGTAGTCGTAAGCCATCAACGGGAATGAGAGATCACAAGAGAACAAACTTCAAGACGCCAGTTTCATCATCGTCTGAAGATGAGGAAGAAGTCGAAAGAGAGGCTGCACGCATCAATGCCAAGCCAAATAAAACAACCGGGTACGGGTTCTCTCTAAGGACAAAGGGCCAATCGAAAGCTTATGAGAAACATTCTTTACCAGTGACAACGAAGAAAACCGACAAAGAGTCTCATGATCAGCCATCTCCAAGGCACAAGACAGTAACTTCAAGCCATGTTTCACAAACTGTAAAATCACCCGATCCAGAAACCCCATCAAGGGAGAGAGCTAGTCACGTTCATCCCAACCTCCCAGAATATGACGATATCTTTGCGAGGCTCGGGGCCCTTCGTGCTCCTAATCGACGCTGAGTATGCTCATCTTGTCCGTCTGTTCATACATTTATTCTTTGCCACAGAGACCAGTCCCCCTCATTTTTTACTCTGACTGAATTTGATATTCTTACACATTATACATATTGAAGCAGTGGTTTGATTCTGCTTGGTCGTGATTGGTTTTCCTTGTCTATTTTATTTTTTGGTGTGGATACATAGAATAGGAAATAACTATTTGCGAAGAAGATTTTTATAATAACATTCGAAATGTTGTCACAATAGAAATGAATTTTGTTCTCTAATTTCCAATTTGCTCAAACTGCAGTACAAGAAACAAACAAACAATGTCGAAAAAGCCAGACACATGACATGTTGTGGCAGGATTTTGACATATCAAAGTCCCTCCATCAGAGTTTCTATTCGTATTCGATCAGTTCAATGAAAGAAGCCAAGAACCTGACCACCCACATTCCGTTTAATAGCTTCTTCATGGTCCAAAATGCCATCGGGAGTTGTAATCACTACATAACCCCACTGCATAATAACAAATCAAAGAAGGTTTAAGTAACTGCTACGATTAGTTGCATATTCAAAAGTAGAGTAAAACCAGACCTGGCGTGTTGGAAGTGTGCGTTCTGTGTATTGCCCGATTTCGTTTGCCTTAAGGTCTTGCCTATAAGTGAGAGCTTTGCAATCATTAACCCTTCCTTGTAGATCAACAGTTATTCTTCCAACTCTGTGTGGATCATAGACTTGAAAGTTCTTGATGTACCCTGTTCATCAACATACAACAAAGTTAAGTAAGAGACAAAAAAACTACCCAATTCATGCGATTCGAGCATATAAATGGTATCTGTAAACTTGAGTCACAAACTACCAACTTTGAAAAGAACCACTTCAAATTCCAAACTAAAAATATCGAAAACACAAACGAAGATCGAAACAAACTTAAGTTAGACCATAAACTTGGAAAAAGGAGCAGATATGCCTTTCTCCAACCATAGATCAAGATGTGAACTATCCATAAGAATCAAAAACAGAAACTTTTCAATCTTCTGCAACTTCACAGTTAACAAAGAACAAATCTTAACCTTTGGACGGTGTTGTAACCAATCTCTTACACCAATTGATCACACATTGAAATGCTTGAGCTAGATAGATACTTCACCACAAGCAAATGTGACTAAAACCAATGTCGACGAAACTGATAAATCTAAATAAGTAGATGACAAATTTGGGAAATGAATTAAGACCCAATTGGACCAGAAGCAAGCAGAAGTAAAAAATGTGACCTTTCTCCTTCATGATTTTGAGAAACGAAGACATAACGGTAGAGACAGGCTTCAATTCCACCGAAGCTTTCCCTCGCTTCTCCGCATTCACAATCGTTCTCAACGCATCGTTCAATATTCTCCTCCCCATCGATCGAAAAATTCCGATTTCTACAATGGAATCAGAGGATCTAAGAATTGTGGCATTTGAGATATTCTTACAATCTTTAGGGGTATTTTAGACTTTACACCTAATATTACATGAACTAGGGTTTTGTTATTTAGAGGTCGTATATAAATAGCTCCATCGTCATCTCGCAAAGCTCCGGCGCCACCATTAAAAACCGAGTCTCTCTATCTCTCCCTCTCTGCGAAATTTCACGGTGAGCTTAGATCCACCCTCAATTGTTCTCGTTTAGTAGTAGCCTTTAGAGATCGATCTGTTCATGTCTGTGTTGTTGATTAGTATCCATTTGTTTTGGTTGGTTGGTGTGGTGAAGGTAGGTTTTCGAAATGGCGACAGTTCCAGGACAATTGATCTGGGAGATCGTGAAGAACAACAACTGTTTCTTGGTGAAACAGTTCGGTAGAGGAAACTCTAAGGTTCTATTCAGCAAGGAGACCAACAATCTCGCCAACGTTCACTCCTACAAGCACTCTGGTAAAAATTTCCACTCTTGTTTCCAATTTCTGGGAACAAATGAATACTTTATATCTCTAGTTGCTTGATTTAGTAGATTAGATTTGGGATTAAAGTTGTTAAGAAATGTTGAAACTTTGGTGCTTTTGGGTGTACGAAAGAGTGTGGATTCTCGAATATAAGATGATTGTTGTTGAAATTTGGCTGTTTGAGATCGTCTTATATGCACTATCTCGAATGTCTATGTTTCTGGATTTTGAATATAAGATCAAAAGTTGACTGTGAAATGTAGTTACTTTACTTCTCTGGTTAATTAGAATCTGGTATTGTATTGAAATTGAAGTCTGTCAAGAAGTTTAACGTTTCATATGTAATGATTTGTAATATTGAAATTTACTGGTTGAATCTAGGCTAAAGTTTGAATCTTTCAATGTGGATTCAGGTCTTGCAAACAAAAAGACTGTGACTATCCAGGCCGCTGACAAGGAACAAGCTGTTGTGCTTGCCACCACCAAGACCAAGAAGCAGAACAAGCCTAAGGTCTCTGTCAACAAGTCTATCCTTAAGAAGGAATTCCCCAGGATGTCAAAGGCTGTTGCTAACCAGGTAAACTCGCAATTTTACTAATTTTGATGTTTGTTTCTGTGTATATGTTGTGCTTATAGGTTTCTATATTTAGTTATGCATGTTATTATTAGCACACTCTGATCTTCAATGTGGGTAGAGAGTTCATCTTATGGGAAAATGATATGATGAATTTTTTCTTTATCTGCTTAATGTTGCTGTTTATGATCAACTTTTGTCATAATGCTTATATTGGCTTCATCTGTGAATACAATCTAAAGCAATTGATTGTGTAAATGTCTAGGTGGTTGACAACTACTACAGGCCAGACTTGAAGAAAGCTGCACTTGCTAGACTCAGCGTCATCAGCAAAGGTCTTAGGGTTGCTAAGTCCGGTGCCAAGCAAAGAAACAGACAAGCTTAAGCTTCTTCTCTCACTATGTGTTTTTTGGAGTAAAAGATTTTGTTGAACAGGTTTTATTTAAGTTATTCCTTGAAGTTGAACCATAACGCTATTCTCCTTTTCCTTATCCTTATTCCAAAAGGAGTTAGAAGTTTTTCTTATTATGCTTTATGTTTCTTGTGTGCTTGTGTTACATTTTGTTCGATCCGTTTATCAAATCAAGAACTAAATTAAATCTCGATTTTAGATTTTATTAGCAAATCCAAAGTAACTAAAAACAAAGTCCTCATTTATTGATGACCTTATAAAGTCTAAATTGATTCCATTAGCAAACAAAAAAAACATTTAGAAACAAGAAACAAATGCCAATGAACAATACCTAGTTGCATCAAATTCAAATGTGATGATATTCTTGTGGATTTTAATGTTTGACATTTTTCCTTAGCTCCCATGAAAAACAAAACTTGAGAATTCACTGACTTCGCAAACCGTGGACTTATCCAAAAGCCCATCAGGCCCATATTCGGCCCAAGTTTAACGTACGGAAAGGTTTATATTAGGGTTTCTTAGACCTTTTGTTCTCTCGCTCTGCCGTCTTCAACTCCATTTTGAAGCGAGGGAGGCAGAGATCGAAGCAAAATGGAGAAAGGAAAGGGAAGAAAGGAGGAGGTTGTTACCAGGGAGTACACTATCAATCTTCACAGGCGCCTCCATAGCTGGTATACCCTAATCTTCAATCCTTTTTTTGCTCAAATTTTCAATCTCTCGTTTCCGTTTTTTGGTTTTGTTGATAAATGATTTGACTGAAATTGCAACTTCTATTGATTCGAATTAGGTTTCTTGATGAGTGAAAAGTTAGAATTTTTGAATCTTTGTTGAAAATTTTGGCATCCATTGATTGTAGAAGAAGAAGATTAGTCTTTAGATGAATAATGATCATAAACATCTCCTTGTTGCTATTGATATTCATGGCTCGTTCCATATTCCTAGAAATTAGTAAGAAGATGGAGAAATTGGATTCCTTTTATTGTATAGAATGGTTTACCTGTTGCTTAGGTTCTTGTAGTTTTAGAGATGCTGAGTTTCTTAATGTGGTTTTTATTGTTGATAAATGAACAGTACGTTCAAGAAGAAGGCACCCAATGCCATCAAAGAGATCAGGAAGTTTGCATTGAAGGCAATGGGAACTAAGGACGTTAGAGTCGATGTTAAACTCAACAAGCAGATATGGAGCAAAGGTATCAGAGGTCCTCCGAGGAGAATCAGAGTCCGTGTTGCCCGTAAGAGGAACGATGATGAAGATGCCAAGGAAGAGTTTTTCTCACTCGTCACTGTCGCTGAGATTCCGGCTGAAGGATTGTCTGGTTTGGGTACTAAGGTCATTGAAGAAGAGGAGTGAAAATTGGTGAATGTACTCACACAATCCTTATCTTTAGATGAAAGACAAAAAAGAAAAAGACTTTTCTTGTTTTGATCACTTACCCATTTTGATCATTTATTATTTATGTTTGAAGTTCTATAGACAACAGATTTGGTACTGATACAAGCTTTGATCTTTTTGTGATGTTCTTTTTGAGTCCGTACCAGACCGGTTTACCATCTGGCTTGTAGTGTAATGAGTTGGTTTGGTATGATTTGGACTATTGAATTTGAGTAGTACCTTAATTGTGGTTTAATTCCACATAGAGTAAAACCTCTATAAATTAATACTCTATAAATTAATAACCTTTCTAAATTAATAAATTCTTCTGGTTCCGAGTTGGGACCAGTGTAAAATATGACATAAATCGATAAATTAATAAGATAATAATTTTTTTGAAAATCTCATATAAACATATGGTCTCATCGATATCATAAATTAATAATTGTATAAACTTATCAATATTTATATATTTGAATTACTATGATATATTTTTTTAAAATATTCTATGTAAAATATTTAATAAAATATGACTCTATTATTCAAAAAATGTTTGTGTTGTTTTTTTAAACTTAATAATTGTTTCTCTACTTGTAATTAGTTTTTAAAAGATATTACTTATAAAGAAAATAATTATTTTTAGATAGAAATGTTTTTAAGAAATTACAAAATTAGTAAAATCTCTCTATAAATTAATAATTATTAATTTAACGATAAATTAAAACCTCTCTAAATTAATAAAATTTGATAGTCCCAACATTATTAATTTATAGAGGTTTTACTGTAGTTGGTGGAGTTTATAGTAACACGAAGGTCCATATAAAATGATTAAAATCATAGAGTACTCATTTTGAAGGAGAAATTAATTACTAATGTGTTTTGTTCTATACCAAATTAATCCCTAACGTTTAATTGAAGTTTCAACAAGTTGAAACTTGAAACCAAGATTTTTTTTTTTTTTTGTCATCCGAAATTAAATAGTACTCAAAAGAGTCATTTATGTGGAATGTTGTTTACAAAAGTAATATGAAGCGGTTTCGTACGAACTTTTCGTGCCAGATTATCCGCTTTAGAATTAGCACATCGATAAATTAGAGAAAGAGAGAAGTTGGAGAACTCTTCATTGTCGTTATGAAATTCCTCCAAATACACTGAAAAAGGCCGGCCATTCGGTTGGGGAAGACACCATCTTCACCAGATCAGAACAGTCTGTAAAGAACGCTACCTCTTGATTATCTGCACCAATCATACACTTTATCGTCCAAAGGAAGGCCTCGAATTCTGTATATAGCCGAGATAGGTTGGCTTCTACGGAGGTTAGCAGCTCTCATTGTTGTCTACTCACCATGGTGTGCAAAACCAAAACCCATTTCATAAATAAAATTATCCGATTTTTTTTTTTTTTTTTTAAATATTGGAAGTGAAAATAAATTATGATGCCAGAGAAATTAATGAATCGAAAAAAGGTAAACCTAGTTTGGATACACACAATTGGTTTAAGGCCCATTGGAGACCCAATACGGCCCATTAAAGGCTCTAAAATGTGATGATAAATAGACTGTAATTCCGAAACCCTAAAAAGCAGCAAGCTATCGAGAGCATCGTCGTCTCCAACAGCCAAGAGAGCAGAAGCTTGAAGAATCTCTATAATCTGAAAAATGGGTAATTCTCCTTTACTTGTTGTTTCCTTATGCTTCTACCTGTCGCTGATTCTTCTTTAACAATGTTGCTGATTTATTTTATTTTGTCTTTGAATGCTCGTAATCAATCTCGCAGGAAAGGTCCACGGTTCATTGGCTCGTGCCGGTAAGGTGAGAGGTCAGACACCTAAAGTGGCTAAGCAGGACAAAAAGAAGAAGCCTCGTGGTCGTGCTCACAAGCGTCTGCAACACAACCGCCGTTTCGTCACTGCCGGTAAATACCATTTACTTTGAAATTTCCGGTATAGGATTCTTAGATCGATTGATCCATCTCGTAATTTGATAATTTCTAAGTCTGAGATCGCTCTCCTTAGTTGAATTCAGGGTTTTATTGACCTGTGATTAGACATGACTGAATCAGTGTATGAATCGCCTTGACATGATTGATGCATAATCGTAGTGTGCCTTGATCGTATTTGTAGATGCTAATTATGCTATTGTGGTTTGATCCAATCTATAGAGTAGATGATAAATATCTCTGTGATCATCATTTCTGCTCTAAGCTCTTTAGAAAATCTTGTTCTAATCAATCTACTACATTTTCTGTTCTTTTTTCTGGTTTCTTTATGAGATTGCACAAGTTTGTTTTAGAGGAATGAATAACGATTCGATTCTCATTTGCTGTTGTTCATGTTTTGTTTTTTCAGTTGTTGGTTTTGGCAAGAAGAGAGGACCAAACTCATCAGAGAAGTAGACAAAAAAAAAAGGTTTTACTCTTTCAGATTTTATGGAATGTTTTTGATATTGTGCCATTAGTTGGTACAAACTCATCAATATCCAAGTGGTTTAACTTTCGTTATCTACAAATCAGTGGATGTTATGTCAATGTTCTTGTCAATTTGATTTGTGTTTCTCCCCGGATTAGACATAAGTTCGTGGATTATTGTCATATACAATGGAATCTGAAGGAATTTGCATTTTTTTTCCTGGAACTTTATTTCCTTGCCTTGAATCCAAATAATTCTCACTTTCCTTAAACATGTGAAGCCAACATTGAACTTCTCTTTTTCAGTTAGATATTTTCACAAGGTTAAGAAGTAGTTAAGTTCTGAATTAGAGATGAAAGATCTAGGAGCTGTAAAGAAGATCCTTGGTATGAATATTTGAGAGAGAGATGGACTTTAACATTGTATCAGGTGTAGCATTTCAGAAAAATTCTTATTTTGCAATAAAGGACGAATCTAAAGTTGTGCAAACTTACTTGATGTCAAAAAAAAGAAAAATGATGTGCAAACTTTATTCAGAGAACCTTTTAATTTGCATAGGGAGTCAAAATTCCTTATGCAAATGTCTTTGGTAGTTTAATGTTCAATATTATTGGACTGAGATCAAACCTAGCTTACTTAGTGGAAAACTGGAAATACATCAAGGAACAACAGGTTCATGGCCATGGGAAAAGCTATCTATAGAGCACTGAAAAGCTGTCAAATGGATGCTGAAATATACATCACGGAACAATTGGTCTGAAACAATGTTTTTTTTTTTTTTTTGAGCCATTAAAATCCACTCTAAATACTGACGTTACATCGTTTACATCAGAGAATTCAAAAGTGAATTTCTTACCATATAGTATCTCCTAAACGATTTCTCCAGTTACATCGTTTATGTAATTTCTACCTAGTTTACACCATTCAAACTTCAAATATATTTGTTATGTGACAACTGTACACGAAGATGTGTGCCAAACCGAAAATATTCATACCACTTGTATTTCACAAACTTTTACTTGTTTGCAAAACCAAAAATGTTTTGAACCCCAGATCATAAACCGCAGATCAATTCAAGAAAAAGTAAAGTAGGAAGAAACAAAAATCAAGACTCAACACAAATGGAAGAAATAAAGATGATCAAATGTCATTACAAGAACACACAAACCCAAAGGTAACGAGACCAACAATCACAATTGGTTCTAAAGTAACAATTGATTGTGTTTGAAAGCATTACAATCAATCACAATAAAAGGGCATTGACACTCTTTTTAGTTAAAGAAGAACCTGAAACGAAACCTTGGTTTAGAGTTCAGACTCGATGAGGTAATCCCCGAGCCTTTCGACAACCAAGTTGCATTGACCTCCAGTCATTGGTTCATCATAGATGCCAAAGACAAGAGCTTGGTTTGTCTTCTTGATAGTGACGCCTCCCGGTCCCTGCAGATTCACAGATTGTTAAAATGAATTCTAATTCTATTCTCTATCAAAATCTACATGCATTTTCCGTAAAGGTTAATCGATAAGATTCATAAAAGCATCTTCGGATACTAAAGAAAGTTACCTTCTTCCCTCGGATCACAGCTCCTTGTTCACCTTGGATAACCATGTATTTTTCGCCACCAAGAAATAGTCCGGTTGGGGCAAGAAACCCGGGCTCCTCAAAGTCCTTCTTGATTCCATCGATTTCTTGAGGCTTCAACTAAAACACATATCAAGAACACACACCAATACACATCAGATTATATCGGTCCATTGTACAAGGTAAAATCAAGTCAACACTTAAGGTTATTGATCCACACATCTTGATCAAAACATTTCCTCCGCATATAAGAGAAATGGAGATACAATTGTTAAACAGTAATTAATCCTAATTAAGACCATAGAATCTACATGCCTCCAAGAAGAAGACCTCGCAAAATGATAGATTTGGTGAAACAATTTCATTTTCATGAATTAGTTAACAATGGATCGCTCACGCATGCGTGAGATTTCACAAGCACATGGATCTTCTATGGAAGCTACGATCTAACTTCTGATACCGAAGAAATCTCACAATCAGACTAATAATCTAGAGCCCTAGGTTCGAATTCAATTTCGCATACGGATCGATTGATTCAGAAAAGCAAATCGAAATATTCATCCGATTACGGAGATAGAAAAGTTCAAAATCAGATCCGAGATTCGTCAGATCCGATCACGGAAAATATCAAAACAGACGGCTGAATCCGGTGGATTCCGGCAATTCAAACGACGGATCGTAGAAAAGGCGAAAAGAGAAGATGAAGAAGAAGAAAAACCTGAGGAAATTTGTCGCTCTGAGCCCAGACACTGCCGTCCTGACCGAGAATTGCGGCGGCGGTGAGCGTGTGGCCTTCGACATCACACAAAAGGTGCTCATCGACGTATGATTGCCACGACATCTTCTTCTTCTTCTCCGGTGAGTACTGAATTCTCCGACGAGTTTGTTTCTTCTGTGAAATCTCCGAGAAGGTTTTTATCTACTTCTCTCTCTCTCAATTCTCTTCGTTAGCTTTATGATCGTGTAGACAATGAAATGTTGTGCTTATAAATTAATTAAAAAAAAAAACACTTTCGTCAACTGTTTAATTTCAATTATTCTTGTTTTCTTTTGCAAAATAATAATGATTATTATTAATTTTACTAAAGTAACAAGAAATAATATAATAACATTTTTCCATTATAATTTTAGTTTTACTAATGGTATGTAAATAATTTATAAAGTTATCAACGGAGGAAATGATAATAGATAAATAAAAGCAAATTGAATCATACAATGTGTAACTGAAAATGCAAAATGGAGGAAAAATATCGTATACTAATTTTTTTTTTTATCAAAAAATAAATAAATCATATGATTTATCACATAAAAAAAGTGTGTGTTGCATCACATAAATAGTATCACAAAATTAAATGATATTATTTTAAATTAGTTGTTAATAAGTGATACAAATTTTGTGGTTTAACATCAATTATAATAATTGATATCATTTTTGATTTGTTTTACATCGAGTCAATAAAATTGATACAAGTTTATATTGGTTTACATCACTTGTAAAGAATTGACACAAATATATGAATTGACATCAATTAAGTAATCGATGTATTCACTAATTTTTGTTAAAATCATTTTAAAAATGATAGAAATTTTACATCAATAAGAAATGATGCTAATTATGTGAGTTAGCTTCAGTTTCTCAAAATGATATAATTATTTACTCATTTTACATCTGTTGGGTTAAATTGATACTAACTTGTATGATTGTATCGTTAAAACATTTGACACTAATAAAGCTAGTTTACATCAATTAAAATATTTACATGTTAGTTTTTTTTTTTCGTAGTCCAAATATTGACATGTTAGTTAAAAACTTAAAACTTTAATTATTGATAATAAAAATGTTAGTGATTTTAACTTAAATCAATAATTGATACAAATAGTAAAAGACATTGATGAAAAAAAAAATCAAAATGGCAATAAAATCCCTAAAATCTCTCCCTCTAATCACGTTCTATAACACCATATTCTAACAACTGTTTACACTAATTTAAAATCAAATAAAAATCATCTATTTTTCCTAAAGATCAACTTACCTTGTTCTCGTTTTCTCTCTCGCTCTCATTCTTTCTATACTCAAATCCACCATTGATGAACAATAAGGTTTACCATTAACTGATGATGTTTAAACACTTCTCAATCTCGCTGACTAGATAAGTTCATGTTTTTTTTTTATATTTGTGTTTTTCTCTTTCTCACTCTTTCTATTTTCAAATCTCATGTTTGCTTCTCTGTATTTTTGTCACTTCTCAATTACTAATATCCTTGTTCATTGATTTATCCTATAGAGTCCTAAATTATACATATATTATACATATTGGTTTTATAAAAAAAATTTTATTTTTTTTTGCAGAATTTAAATCATGGCAGATGAAGTAAAGAGGTTCGCCGGAACTAATTGTTTAAGTTTTAACACAAGGAGGGACGAACAAAACATAAGATATTCAATTCAAGAGTTTCCTACGAAGAACAAAACGTCTACAGTCCTCTATAGAAGCCTATCAAACATACAAAACCACCACCTCCATGACAGAAGACCTACGGCTAACCATTATCTAGTTGTTATTAATTTGTGTTTACACTTCCAATTATGTGTTGTAATCATACATTTGATTTAGATTTTTGTAGTTATATGTTTTAGTTTGTAATTTTTACCATTGGTTGTATTATTAAAATTATAATAAAATGATATAATGATTTGTAATTTACATTTAATTTTACATATTTTTTGAAAATTTAATTATAATTAAAATATTAAAAATTATTGTTGAAACGAATAATTGCAAAATTAATTATTTCAAATTACAAAATTATTTGAATCAATTATGAAAATTGATACTAATTTAACATCAATTGTTTACAAGTGATAGAAATATTGGCATCAATTATTTTAACCGTTACAAATATTAACATCATTCATATTAATTGATGCAAATTTTAACATCATTTTTTGTAATTGATATATATTGACATCGATTTTACAAGAACTGATACAAAATATTTGCATCACCAATTTCGGAGTCGCTTTTTTAAGTGATGAAAAATATTTTTGCATCAATTAAAACTAATACAAAAATATAAAATAAATGATGCAAAATACACGTTTTTTTGTAGTACATGCATGTACCATATATAACATACTTTACTTAGCTATCCCCTATATATTAATTGAGAAGCATTTTAAATAAAAAACCTTACTTTCACATGGGATTTACAAGACTGTCATGCTGACATGTCGCAACCAGAGAAACTCTCAGCAAACTTAATAATTGTCCAATATTTACTAGACTAATTACATATAATGCCATTAGCAATTAATAAAGGAAATTAATTAATAAAAACTATATATATTGACGAAACAAGTAAAAAGTATATAGCATAAATCATGATGAATAATATATAATATAAATGTTTATTATATGTTTTGTACTTATATTTTTTATATGTTTTATAAAAAAACATTTAGAATTTTAACATATATGACATTCTATTTTTTGTTATAAATTACAAAACATCTAAATGTATATGTGAGCCCATATGTTTCTTAAATATATTTGGAACATAGTTTTACATAAATTAGTTAGTAACATTTCATTTATTACACATTCACTATGAAGTTATTTTCCCGAATGTGTAATTTAATCTATGTATCCGCTTACTCATTATTTTCCGCTTACTCAGCATTTCCTGAAAAATAATTTATCAAGTTATTTTCCCGATTTTTCCTTGAATAGATTACATAAAGGGACATATAAAATCCACAAAACAAAGTAATATTGTATTTGCAAGATAGATCAAAATCAAACACAGCATATTTTATTTTAAATCATCAGTTGAAATTGTTTTTTCAAAAACTTTTCCCAAGTATAAATATAAAAAATTTATCCCAAAAACAATAATTAGATATGCCAGAAGTTGCCATCATTTTGTTCTCTCCAAATACAGAGTGGATATGCTCTTTGAAGATCTCAAATTAAGATTCTCAATCATATATTATTGCGTTACACCAGATATTGCATTTACTTGTGGCCCATCACTTTCGTAATTTCTATTTTATAGTCAAAGTTGGCAAATAATTTAGAGGTCTTGTGATTAAAAGAATTATCATGGAATTAAAAATTACGAGTTCAGAGTTCTCTCGATCATGGTTGGTCATTATAGGAATTGAAAATATTTGAGTTCGAGTTCTCTCAATCATGGTTGGTCATTATAGACATATTAGTTGACAACAATACCTTCTGTTTTGCAAGATTCAAAATATAGTCTCTATTTCAATGTAGGATCCCATCTATTTAGTGCTTATCATGAAAGAAAATTAGCAAATCCAAATCGCTTAATCCAAATTAGCAAATCCAAATTAGCAAATCAACAAATGTTGTATTAGTTGTAAAAACGTTATTTTTTTTTAATATAATTTAACATTAAATTTTAAAAAGAAAAAAAATGAACATTGAAAAAACTGGAGTTAATCATGTCCTCTCTGTCTTGACGAATAATAAAATTCAGTATAGTTGTCTTAAGCAATGCATGTATACTACAATTGATAGACGCATGGATAGCTATCATGTCTAGTACCCGTTCACATAATTACTATCTATGATGGTTTTGCTACGATATATAAAGACTTTAGATATGAATCAGAATGACATGAGCGTATATACTCAACAAATAAATGTACGGTAAAATTAATTTTTTTAGAACAAACAAATTAATCACGAAACCATGAAAAAGAGAGGAAAAAAAAAAGATAGTCTTTAAGTCTCGGCTTCTTCACACAGGCTTTGTGTTATTGTCTGCAACCTAGGCTTCAGTTTTCTGTTAAACTTTGCTAAGGTAGAAACCAGAAAGACCCCAAATAATTTTTTTTTTTTAAAAAGATAAAAAGAAAAACCAAAACCATGCACCCAAAAAGAGAGACAATGGTTTTATGAATTAGAAAAAGAGATGTAAAGCATTGTAGATGGTTTAAAGACCCTGTTCGATCAAGTAATCACCCAACCTCTCGACAACCATGTTGCATTGTCCTGGAGTCACTGGCTCTTCGTACAAACCAAACACCATTGATTGTCCTGTTTTCTTGATCGTGATCCCTCCAGCTCCCTGCCCATGTTCGAATAGTAATGGTTTTGAGTTTCAAAACCAAATTCATAACAACAAATACTATCAAGATCATTAGAGTTTGAGCATTTTTAATCATAGTCTGTCTAAGGAGTGTAATGGGAGGAGTTGATTCTCAAGAAATCGTAAGACCATCCTTATTGGGAGGTCCTTAGCTTAGTTCTTAGCTCATGAGTGATTAAAATTAAAGGTTGAAATGTTGATTTTGCTAAGGAATGGTTCTTAGTTAAGAGCAAAAAAATTGGCTTAAGAACCAAAACTAAGGCCTCCCCAATAATGTTGCTCTAAGGCCTCAAGTGTTTTAAGGGTTTGAATTTGCATTTACATGCATGTGAATCTTTTTTATTATAAAATAATTCAAGTAATTTCATAAAATATTTTCCGATCCCGAAAGTTGCAAGGCCTTAAGTCTCGATTGTTTCAAATGAAATGCTATACATTTGCATTTAACATGTGAAAAGTAAATCATATTTTAAAAATATAAAACATTTTTAGGTTTTCTTAGATTATAGAATGTAAACGTAATCAATCCAGCGTTAATCTTAAAAATACTCTTAAACATACCTTCTTGCCACGGATGACAGCATTAGGCTCGCCTTGGATTACCATATACTTTAGCCCTGCGAGGAACAAGCCCGTGGGAGCGAGATGACCCGGCTCATCGAAATCCTTCATAATGTCCGTGATCTCTTGAGGTTTGAACTATTTGAAGACAAATGAATCATCAGATTTTTAATGTTGAACCAAATCCGGAATAATGAACTTAATGCAAATGTTGAAATCACAAAAAAAAAAGGTTGATCAGCTCATCTATATCACTATTAAAATGTCCATATGTAACGTAACGGATAGAAATAGCAAGTATCAAATCATATTTCTCTATATGGAAAATTTAAGACCAACCAAACCAAAACATAAGATCGCTCGATAATCGAGGAGGAGGAAGTTTAACCTGAGGAAAATTAGCGCTCTGAGCCCAAACGCTACCGTCATGGCCGATGATAGCGGCGGCGGTTAGGTGGTGACCTTGGCCGTCGCCGACATCACACATCAAATGCTCATCAACGTATGCTTGCCACGACATTCTCTCTGATTTCTTCTTCTTCTTTTTTGCTTTTACTCTGCGCGATTAGGTTTTTTGATCTCTCTACGTATGTATGTGTGCAATGCAACTCCAAGGGGGACTTGGTCGTCTCGATAAATAGGGAACGAAAAAGAATGTTGTAGGAGATGAAAATATTAACCGTTGGATTCGTAAGACAACTTCTTAGCCGCTCATTTTTTTGTTTTTGAATAAATTTTTAATTAGTGTTTTACTGATGCCTCGCCTTTGTTATAGCTTAATCATTCACTCCATGCATGCCACGTGTCTTTCTTCCCTTTGCTAATTTTCTCCTATTAATAACGACCAAGAAGGATTTCAGGAAATATTAGCAGCCTCTCACAAAAGATTGTCCCAATTTGGACCTTTGTAGTTGATACAGTTACTACTTACTCTTTGAGACATGCATTGTTGCTTGTGGGCTTGTAGGCTACCATATAACATAGACTTAGATTCTAAAAGAACCAATGTGTATGTCTGAACCGGATATCGTCAGTATCATGATCCGATCAAACTATTTTCAGAAGAGTCGTTATTTCTGCTCATTTTGGCCCTCTTCTGATTGGTCATGGTGATCAACATGATGTTTACGAAATTGAACATCAACAAGAGTGAGCAGTAACCATGGACTAATTAAGGCTTTATAAAATTTCATCTCTTCATAAGATTTGATAATGAGCAAGTTCATAAAAGTTAATGGGCTAGAACCGGTCGTGTAGCCCAAAGCAAACAAAAGAAGAGAAAGATATATATTTTTTCTCTCGACTTGTCCGCTTACAAAACCCTAAGAGCATCTTCATCCCTCTCACCTGAGTTCCACTTCTGTCTATAATCTTACTCTCTCTTTGAGAAATCCCAATGGCCAAGAAACTTTTGAACCCTTTGGAAGATCCACCAACCGCTTCTTCAAGCGACGACGACGAAGTTGAGATTTCATCTGAAGAAGACGAAGAACAGATCTCCAATTCTTCTTCTAAAGAAGAAGATCCCGCCACAATTCCCTCCACCAAAACCCTAAAATCTCCTTCCGCTGCCGCTCCAAGTCCCGATTCTGGTTCTGAGACGGATTCTGACTCTGATAAGCCACACGTCTTCACCAAGAAGAAAGAAGCTACTGATTCACCGGCGGTGAAATCAGTAAAGAAGCGAGCTAGTGAAGGAACCTCCTCGAATGTCAAAAAAGCTAAGAAAGTTTCGAAAGACGACGATAACAAAAAGCCGCGTTTTCAGAGATTATGGACTGAAGAAGATGAGATCGCTCTGTTACAAGGCATGATTGATTTCAAAGCTCAGACAGGTACAAGTCCTTATGATGATATGAATAAGTTTTTCGATATCGCTAAGGAATCTATAAGCTTTGATGTTAGTAAAAACCAATTCGGTGACAAGATTAGAGGTTTAAAGAACAAGTATTTTGGTTCAAGGAAGAAGAAAAGTGTTGAATCGGATCATGATAACAAGTGTTTGGAATTGGCCAAGTCTATTTGGGGACGTGGTGTTGTTGAATCTCCTGTGAAATCTAAGAAGAAGAAAGATGAATCTGTTGTTAAGGCTAATGGGAAGGAGAAGAAGTTGGAGTCTTTGGTTGAAGAAGATAAGGAATTGGGGATTCTCCGAGGAGATTCAGAGTCGTCGAATTGGTTTGACAAGTCTTTTTTGGTTCGGGTTGTTGCGAGTCTCGGTGTGGATGAGTGTATTGTGAAGTGGAAATGGAGTAAGGTGACGATGGACACTAAGAAGAGGATTGAAGAGAAGATGAAGCTGGTGGAGGGTAAGGAATTTGAGTTGTTGTCGCAGAAGATTGATGTTTTGAAGGAGGTGATTTCCGTGATTGCTGAAACTATCTAAGAAGAAGTAATTAGATTGTTTAGGTTTATTGGTTCTTTTGTCGCGCAATGCCTCTTTTGTTATGGAGCTTAGGATTTATCTTTCTGTCTACGCTTATGGTTTTTAGTCTTTTTGTGTCTTGTGTAAAATTTAGCTAAGAAGAGGACTAAAAAGCCTTTTGATCGATGGGTGTAATGAACTTAAGACTTTGTAAGCTTTGCAAATGTGCTTCCTCTTTCTAAAGTACGAAATGCAACCAAAATATAACAGCTACATTTAACTACAATCTTTCAGGTTATAGACTAACATAAATCAATAACCTTCACATAATTGAAGAGATTCTGCATCTTGAAGCTGCAAGCAAAGTTAGAAGAGGAATTTAAAGGTACATCAATCGTGGAATAACATCACTTTTAGAGAAACAAACACAAGTCTTAGTGTCCAACCTTCCTCAAAGGCAATAATAGTAGATTGCAAGTCTTGCCGATTTTTTATCTAGGCTAGATATCTTGCATATCAAGTATGTCTGATTATGCTTTTTCTTCTTCTTTGGAACCGAGTAAGTATGAATGAAGATGTTGTGCACACAAAAAACGATTGCTTCATATCTTCTTTTCATTTTTGCTAATTCTTATCACATTTCATTTTTCATATGTTTTATGGATCTTTGCCATTGCTTATTGTAGAATTCTTTACTGGGTTACGCAAAACAAGACCCGTTTTGGACCAACAACATTATCAATTCCTTTTTGATTATCTATTGAAGACCATTAAATTTAGTGATGAACATAATGAATTTCATCCCAACAATATTTGCTCTGTCTAGTAAAAAAATCTTTAGCAAGATCCCAATTTTCTTCTTTAGAATTATCACATTACAAAAAAAAAAAGGTTTCAAAATCAGAAATAAGCTTCTTTCTACTAAATCAGTTTGATTAATAATGTATGTAACTGATAAAAACCATTTTCTTCACACAATTGCATAACCAATACAATTACCAAAAAACAAAGAAAAGCTTCCAACTTTGTGTTTTCATGGAGATGAAGCCACCTTCAATCCCAGGCTAATCGCAGCACACGTTAACGGCTGCGCCGGAATTCTAAGACAGCTCAATTGACCGCCGGGAATCGCCGAACAATCCGGTTGCGGCCGTTGATAACCCTTGCCGGGAATACAATTTCCGGTGAAATCAAACCCAACGCTAAGACTCGAGCACTGAGAGCTAAACCCAGAGAAGAAATTGAAAGAAACCGTCAGGTTTATCAGATTCCTCAAAGTGCAAACCAAATCGGGAAGATCACCGGAGAATTTGTTGTGCCCGAGATTCAAAACTTCAATCTCCGATAAGCAAGAGATCGTATCAGGGACATGACCCATCAATGAATTGAAACTAACGTCGAGGACTTCAATGTCGGAGAATAAACCGACTGATTCCGGTATACAACCGGTTAACTGGTTATTCAAGAACAAAACCTCTTTCAATTTCGAACCGGTGATACCAAAACTCGTCGGAATTTCGCCGGATAATTTATTATTAGCGAGATTAATCACCGAAGCTGTAGAGTAACCGAGATTCCCGGGAATTTCTCCGGTGAATTGATTGTTGTTGAGAAGAATCGCGTCTAATTGTTTGTTGAAGAGATTTTCCGGTATAGAGCCAGTGAAATTGTTGAACCGGAGATCGAGGTAAACCAGATTTGGGATGTAGAGTGTGACTTGAGGGAATGAACCAGAGAATCTGTTGTTGCTGAGATCGAGTTCTTGAAGAGAATCAAGATTCTTGAAAGAATCTGGGATTTGACCAAAGAATCTGTTGCTATTGAGATGGAGAATAGTTAGGTCTGAGAGTAAAGAGAGGTCTTTAACAATGGTGCCTTTGAGATTTGCTTTGTTTAGATCTATGGAAGTTATCAATGAACCAGAACAGAACACGCCTCTGTAAGAACAAACATCTTCACCAACCCATGTCTTAAGAATACCAGATGGATCCTCTGTTATGGCAGATTTCCAAGATTGAAGAGCATTGTAAGCTGCATTTGTTGTCTGTTGCTTTGGAGCTGAGCCAGGATTGGAATTAGGGTTTCCTCCACCTATCCAAACTCCGCCGTCGTCACCGTCTCCGCCGCCGATTCCAACTCCGACTCCAATGCTGTATCCATCTGTCAGAATCAAACCCAGGAACAGAAACAACGACAGGAGGCTAAAGTTTTTGGTGCCTTTCTTCTTCATCATTCTTGTTTCTTCTTGTTGTGCTTTTTGATACTCAAGAAGCTTGATTAAAGTTGCTGTCTTTTCTTCTTGGGGAATGTTGAAACTTGGAAAGAGAGTGAAAGATTTTGTTGGATTAATGAGGTTTGTTAACAAAAGTGTCGTTGAAGCATTGATTGATGATGAGCAAGTGTGGGGACAATGGTTTGATTGATGGAGTTTTGCTTCTCAGTTACTGTTTTGTTTTCAACTTAGGTTTTATTTTTTTCAATGGCTTCGTGCTATAATTCATCAAATGTGAAATGTCCCATGAATTTTATAAGCATTATTTAGTAGATACTTTCGAATAGTATATACTCTATGATATTATTGCATATGGTTAGGGCGTATAGTATGTACCTTGCAACATTAAATTACTTTTAGAAGTTACCACTGACCAGTGATCACTGTCATAATATAAAAACATTAATTACCTACCGGGTTCAGAGGATTCGTGTTACGGTTTTACCTTGTCATAAGGTGTCATTTTTTTAGGTCTCGATTTTTTTGTTAAAGAACCTGAAAAAAAAGTCTCCCATGAATTATTTGAGAATTCAGAGAAATATATATTAAAAACTTATCCATGTGCTATCAACAGAACGTTCTTAAGAATGTTTCTAAAATTATTAAAACTATGTCATTAGAAATATATGTAAAATTTGATCATTCATACGAAACAAATTTATTCCATGTTCTATTGTATCACTTTTGAAGAAGAAATACTGGTGTTGGATATATCAACCAAAAAAGCTATTGTCATATATTACACTATTATATCAAAACCAACAAAACTTTTACATTAAACCAAAAAAAAAAACCAACAAAACATTAAATTCAGAACAGAACCATAACATTTGTCTAACCTAATCAGGTTCAATCCACGCTGGAAACAAAAAAATACATTTGTGTGGGAAGTCTGGGCTTGAACCAAAAGGCTCAAGCAGTTTACCTGGTAGTCCATTAACAGGCGATCTGGCTACCCCTGGCATTAGTCGGAAAACATTCCAAACTCAGGACAGACTGTGTGGTGGTCCTTCGGGGAGTAGTCCACTCTGAAGCACTTCGGTGCGTTTCTACCGAGGCTGACCGGATCAGCCGATAGGGTTTATCAAAAAAAAAAACCTAATCGGTAGTATAATTAAAATCAAAAACAAGTATATGACCTCATTGGTGTTTCTGTAGCTGGCATGGATGCGACGAAAATGATGCTAATCTGTTTGTTTTATTGTTGTCACTTGTCAATGCGTAGTCGATGGTTTAACAATGTGACCTTGAATGGTAGTAGATTCTACACTAGTTTTTGGATTTTGTTTTTTCAAAAACTAATTTTTTCTCCATTCAAAAACTAATTGTTTCTCAGTTACTGTTTTGTTTTCAACTTAGGTTTTATTTTTCAACGGCCTCGTGCTCTAATTCATCAAATGTCACATGAATTTTATAAGCATTATTTAGTAGATACTTTCGAATAGTATATACTCTATGATATTATTGCATATGGTTAGGGCGTATAGTATGTACTTTGCAACATTAAACATTAAATTACTTTTAGAAGTTACCACCGACCAGTGACCACTGTCATAATATACAAAACATTAATTACCTTCCGGGTTCAGAGGATTCGTGTTACGGACTTTTACCTGGGAATATATACAAAGTAACCATGGATTCAAAAAGAATATACAAACTAACCATGAGGTACAATAACTTGTCGATAACATGTCAGAATGCATGTGTAATTACGTAAGTGTCCTATGTAACACATTTTTTTCTCGAATTACATGTGATAGCATAATATATCTTTTTTTATCATGTTATTTTTCTGTATTGCACGTTATTTATAAAGAGCACATGATATTTCTTGAAAATAATATTCTATTTAGTTTAATATCTCTCTTTATCATGTTGTTTTGTAGTAATACACGTTTTTTCTTAAAATCACATAAGATTTCTTTTTAAAAAATTCTTATTTTGTAATAATACACGATTTTTATTAAGATCACATGTAATTTTTTTTAAAAAAGATTCTATTCAGGTTAATTTTTTCATAACAATATTTTTTCTAAAAAACTTACTGTATTTTTTCAAATATCATGTCTTTCTGTTCAATATAATATGTGAAATTTAAATGTTACATGCTATTTTGTAAAATCTCACGAAATTGTCTTGCGTACGGTTGAACTCGCAACAAATGAAAGATGGTTTGGTTAGTTCACTTCTTCTTCTTCTGACAACGTGGGACAATGGCCATTTTGCAACAAAAAAAATTTCTCTTTGCTATTTACTTAATTTGTGTGTCTAATTTGGCTATTCAATAATATTACCCTTTCATAAGTTGTCATTTTTTAGGTCTCGATTTTTTTGTTAAAAAAACCTGAAAAAAAAAAGTCTCCTATGAATTTATTTGAGAATTAAGAGAAATATATATTAAAACTTATCCATGTGCTATCAACAGAACGTTCTTATGAATGTTTCTATGCAAAATTATTAAAACTAAGTCATTAGAAATATAGGTAATATTTGATCATTCATATAAAAAAACATATCAAATATATTAAGAACAAAAGAAAATTAACTATTATTATACGAAAATCATCTTATTTTATGTGAAGCTGATAAGTACCTAATAATAATGTGTTTCCACTTTCCATTGACTCCGATTTTGCTAATCATAATATTTGTCTGTCCTATCAGTTGATTTTTCTGTTATTCCATTTCCACCAAAAGTAAGAATGTGAAGAACTGAACCACTATTCTGACCGACGTAAAAACAACATCACTGTTGCGTGTTATGACCAATTTGATACAAAGGAAATTATTAAAAACGACAAATTACCACATAGTATTAGCTAATACTTATCATGCATTCAAAAAGAAGAAAAGAGAAAAACGAAGAAGAAGCAGAATATAGGGAGGCTATTTAAAGTATAGAAAAAATATATAGCAGCTTCTGAGTGTGAAATGTCGTGAGATTGTGTTGACTTGAAAACGATATTAATGAAATGTTAAAGAATTCAATTCAAGAAAGAAAAAAATTGTTAACGAATTGGGAGATTTTTATCGCCTCACATGGAGGGGATACACAACAATAGATTTTGGGATGACTCATCCATCTTTATAATACTAAAAAATTAATCAAAATAAATGGAATCAAATTAAATGTACAATTATTTTTCAAATCATTATAAAGTGTCTGATTTACTATGACGGGGGTAGATAGACCGCTTACAAAAACGCTATGTAAACGATAAATAGCGTTTATCGGATGCTATAAATACTCCAATTTCTTGTAGTGTTTGTTTCTGTTTTTGATTTTATCCTTGTCCATATGTGATGAATTGGTTTTACAGGATGCGTTTTATGCAATGGTGATGTGCCGTGTTGTAGTCAACTGGAGTTGGAGGAATCAAGATTGTGAATACGCCTTGGTGAATATATGTATCTTTAAAAGTTTCTAAGTAGAAACAAATTGTGATATGTATTGTTGTTCTTCATTAAATACAAATCCTTTTGGTCTCTTAATAAAAATTATTATTATTATTATTATTGATTGTTTTGGGTGTTTGTAAATTAAATTAGAGCTCCTATTAATAAAATTCAAAATGCAAAATTCAAATCCACATATTATGAATAATAGATTTGATAACAAAATTGAAATGTTATTGTAGAGTATACGATAGTAGAGATAAATCCGCTATTAATATTTTAATTTAGATAGCAGATACAAAAAGCGCTATCTAAAGTCGTCGACCTATTGTCGCGGTCGATGATATAGCGTTTCTAAATACGCTACGCTTGCGATAAATAACGTTTTTTGGACGCTATCAATGCTTGATTTTCTTGTAGTGTTCGTTATAAGAAAATCAATAAATAAGGTGGAAACTTAATTTCTTGTAGGTTTTCCATTCAAAATCTATTAGTTATGCATGCATCTCATATTATTTATATATTATTTTTTTTTGTTAAAATGCATGCATCTCATATTAACTCAATCTACGTAACATAATTTTTTTGATATCTCATTGCGTTGAAGTTGAAGATACATGATATAAGGCTAAACCAAAAGCATCCTTTTACGAATGAGTGAGATCATCCACACAAAGTTGGATGGAATTAATAAGAAGACAAATGTTAATAAAAGATTAAGAAAAATACAAAATATTTGAATCTAGCTCCTGGACAAACAATTGTATGTTTCTTATATCTGGGGCAACCCAAGCAGCTAACTAGTGTTTCAAAATAAAAACAAAAGAATGTCCACATATATTAGGATATTATAACTTAAATCTAGCAAGAATACAGTTATTTTATGAATCTTATGTTTGGATATGCAAGCCGCCAGCTCATATATCCAAATAAAACCAAAAAAGTATTTTTGGTAATTAATAAATTAGATAATACAAAAAAAAAAAGTTTTAAATAGATGTGGATATGTGTGTTTAATTAATGTTTAATAAATTTGGTCCATGTAGTGTTTTTTTTTTTTTTTTGTCCATGTAGTGTTAATATGTGATGTTACATATATTGGTAAATAGGTTAGGTTATAGCGTAATGATTACATAAATTAGTGCGTGAGAGATTTCATGTGAATGCAAAGAAGGTAGAGGAGAAGAATCAACAAATTTTGTTGGGGTTTTTGTAAATTTGAGTTGGAAGCTATATAATCCCCACTAGGCCACTAATAATGGTTATTTTTTCTTCATCACTATTTTTTTGGGGTGTAAAAGGTAACGAATATAAAGGCATAAACATAATGGTTTTTTCTTCTCATTTTGACTTTCGAGTTTGAGTAGACATTAGCATTCATAAGAAACACATTTTTCTTGTATCTTTATCGCATGCGCTATCTATAGCATTCATACGAAACAAATAGAGTTTTATCTTTATTCCATGTTCTATTGTATCACTTTTGAAGAGGAAATACTGGTGTTGGATATATCAACCAAAAAGCTATTGTTATATAGTACACTATTATATCAAAACCAAGAAAACATTTAAATCAGAACAGAACCATAACATTTGTCTAACCTAATCGGTAGTATAATAAAAATCAAAAACAAGTATAGGACCTCATTGGTTTGCTAGCTGGCATGGATGCGACGAAAATGATGCTAATCTGTTCATTTTTATTGTTGTCACTTGTCAATGCCAAAATCATGTTTATTTTTTAGTCAATGGTTCAACGACATAATTTAGTAATGAATTTCTATAATTTCGTAAACACCTATTGCCAGATTATGGAATAATCAACAATAAAAAAAGAAAAAAAAAAAGGAATGTGATTTAGTCAATGAAATATGTCGATATCATTGAAGAAAGAGCAATACTTGGGTTCACCCCTAGAAATGAATCCTTTTATTCACTCATTTTCTTTTAACCAATCAGAATTCGCCACATAATAAAAAAAAAATTTAATTAATTATTAAATCTAATCCCAAACTACTTTTTTATAAACCCAAACCGATATATAATCTTGTTTAATTACAAAATCTAAACCTTAATTCTCCTTTGTAAACCCAAACCGACATTTAAACTCGTTTAATCGTAAAAAATCTAAACCCTAATCATATTTTCTAAACCCAAACTGATATTTAACATCGTTTAATCATAAAATCTAAACTCTAACCCTTTCTAATAAACCCAAACCGATACATAATTTTGTTTTAGTGGCAAGTTAGATTTTATAATTAAATGAAATTTTTTATTCTTATTAAATGGCAGATTTTAATTGGCTGAAATAAAGAGGGTGAATAAAAGAGGGTGGGAATATTTTTCTTGAAGAAATGAGTAGACAAACCAAAAACCTCAAAAACATACACATCACTAACGTGGGCTTTTCGATGTCTTAAGATTAATGGGCTTACATGGGCCAAAACATACAAGTTCTTTTCCAGGTCGCAAGTACTTTAATTTTCTTATTGAACAGAGTAGCGATGACGTGTCTAAACTCCAAGAAGAAGAAGAAGAAGTGAAAAAAAAAACAAAGATCTGAAGAAGAAAAAGAAAAACGAATTGGAAGAGAGAGCTTGTTGGAGATGGGAATAAGGTTCATATTGATGGTGAACAAGCAAGGCCAGACTCGTCTTGCTCAGTACTACGAATGGCTCACTCTCGAGGAACGTCGCGCTCTCGAAGGCGAAATCGTCCGTAAATGCCTCGCTCGCAACGACCAGCAGGTTCCTCTCTTTTATCTTCAAATTCCATTAGATCGCTTCTGATTCTGCTCCGATCTCGTCTCCTTTAGGTCAATTGATGTCTGTTTTGATGTCCTTAGTTTTGAATTATCCTTTGATCACTGCGAACTTTGGATTGTTAGATGATCTGGATATGGATCGATCCGTCATTAGGTTTTGAGTCTCTGTTTGTTATTTGATTAGAGAATTCGAAGTATTTCTGTTGTTAATCTAGATTGACACAGAGCCGATTTGGGAATTTTCGTAGCGGTGATGCATAAATCTAAATCACCGACCATTGGCCAATTGGAATCAAACTAATTTAGTATCATTGATGCTAGTTACATTGAGGTCTCTGTTTATGTAAAGGTTGGTGCAAGCTAATCGATTAGATTGTAAAGATGTTGGAGTTTGCGTTGTTCTAGATCAACGTTTCTTCGTTGGTTCTGTTTAGCTTACGGCATCAGGCTAAATTTTACTGCATTTTGTTCTTAATGAACAGTGTTCGTTTGTTGAACATCGCAACTACAAGATTGTCTACAGGCGTTACGCATCTCTCTTCTTCATGGTTGGGGTTGATGACGACGAAGTAAGTTTGTTATACACCTATCTGTTTTGACATCAAATTAAATGGGTTCAAACTTCAAAGTATGTGTGGAGAAACAATATGGAAGAGTGATTTATGGATCATAAGAAAGAAATCCTTGTACAGTCTACTATATATACACAATCTATGTCTATGACTCCTTAATATGCAAACAGTAAAGCTCAGCTTAGGTTTTATTCTTTCATCAATCTCTGAATTGTTTGCTTGTTGAAAAAACTGAAGCACTCTTTTCACTCTGATTACTGTCCTAGAACGAGCTAGCGATTCTAGAGTTCATACATCTTCTGGTCGAGACAATGGACAAGCATTTTGGAAATGTGGTAAGCTGTCTAGGTTCAAAGTAGTCTTGAATCGAACAGACTGTCTTGCTTTTGTGTTCTCCATTATTGATTTATATAACTCTTTTTTTATGCAGTGTGAGCTAGACATAATGTTCCATTTGGAGAAAGCTCATTTCATGCTAGAAGAAATGGTGATGAATGGTTGCATTGTGGAGACAAGCAAAGCCAACATACTTTCACCTATACAACTTATGGACAAAGCCCATTAAAATGCAAATCACCTCGTTTCTATTTCCGTTTCATCACTCTGTTACACACGACTTCTTGTATTATTATTAAAGATGCTTCAAAGAGGATAATATAGTTTTGTTTAAAGAAAACAAAATCAAAAAGTACCAATTGGGAGTACAATTCTCAAGAACCCGATTATAATAAGGATAGTTACATACGTACAAAGGTTTGTTTGTCGACTTCTAAAAGAGAAGAATGCCCAAAGGTGTCTTCTTTGGTTCCTTAACATCTCCTTTGTGTATATTTGCAGCCTTGGCCACTTGGTTGGATCATCAATAGGTTGAACCAATTTCTTAGAGTCCCTATCAAGTCTAAGCAATTCCCACTAGTGTAAAGAGCTCATTCTATAGCGGCGAACCAATTTATATATGGGATAAGTTAGAATTTAGTACGTTTATCAAACTTAATTATAAAAGTAGTACAAGTACTATTTACAATTGGGAAAACACCCAGTCTGCACTGTAGTAACATTTGTCCTGACCCATATGCCATCCAAAATATCGACTATTTACCATCTAATGCCATTGACGGTCTTTGAAAAATAATTAAAAAAAAAGTTGTTCTCTCTATTCTTCTCTTCGTCTTCTCCGACGACTCCGACGACTCCATATTCATAAATTCATAAGGCTATCCCAAAAACAAAGCACAAAACTTTTGCCTCTACTCAATACTCATCTCTCTCTCAATTCTCTGATTAGGGTTTTTTCATAAACACGAAAAAAGGGTCTTTTTTCTTTCACTAATCTCTCATGGCTTCTCCCTCTTTTGATTGGAAAATTTAAAATCTTTTAGGAATTGATAGTGGCAAAATTTTAAATTGGTTGATTTTGGTCATAAAACAACAAATCTCCGGCGAAATCATCATCATCCCTGGCGATGAAGACGACGGCTCCAGGAGAATCTTGAGCGTTGAACAACCACCACCACATCTTATAATGGCAAATGCGATCACATTCTTCGAGCTCAACACCGGCGTTAAGTTCCCGTCGGTGGGTCTTGGAACATGGCAAGCTTCTCCTGGCCTCGTCGGCGATGCCGTAGCCGCCGCTGTTAAGGTTCGCCATTCTTAATTTGGAACCTATTTGCTTCCGATCTCTTTTAGATTCATTAGTTTGATGATTCCATACTCTGTTTGAATTAGATTTTTTTTGGTTATGCTTCAACTAGTTTAATCTTAATCCTAATTGTATTTTGGCTATCGTCATATTGATTGCGCTCAGATCTATGGCAACGAAAAAGAGGTAAAAAAACACAGATGTTTAAATTAGCTAAGCTGAAAATTCTTTTTTGTTGTATGAGTTTTTTGTGGAGAAGCCATGGGCGATGAAGACGACGGCGACGTCGTTTGTAACAGGAGAGAGAGTTGTAGTAGCAGTCGTAGTTTATTGTATCCTCTTATCTCTTCCTTTATCACTAATCTCCCATGGCCTGCGGCGGATCTTGTCATGGCTCCAGATCGACGGTGGATTTGGAAGATTCGACTTGAATCGGTGGATTTTGATTCTGGAGAAAAGCTTTGAATCCGAAGCTTGTTTGCTTCAGATCCTCCATAGTTTTTTCAATGTCTCTGTTTATTCTCTGTATGAATCTTAGTATCGAGAAGAAGAGGTTTCTCTTGAAACTATTCTCCTTTTCTCTTTATTTTGAATCATATTATTATTTTGTAAATGGGTCTTGAAAGAAATCCTCTGAAAAAGTTTCTATTCGTTTCTTGATGCTGTTACAGGATAAGGACGCAGAAACCGTATTTGGCTTGCTAATATACAGCCTGGAACGTTTGTATCGAGTTGTTGAGAAACCTGCAAGAGCAACTGACGAGTGGGATTTATAAGTTTTTACTTTGATCCCATCAATTAGCTTATTAAATTGAGGCTGCCATTAGCTTTCAGTTTATCATAAGTCCAATATTTGTTAAAGTGGTTATGTGTGTGCTTGAACTTACTGATGTGTTTTTTTATATAAACAGAGTGAAACAAGATCTGATTGAGTTAGGAAGGCCACAGCAGCAAACATCATACAAGCTAACAGTGACACAACGACTAGTAACGGTTTATGACTGCTTGCTTCCCACTCGCAAGCGACAATAACTCATCTCGGGTTTTTAATCTGCTTTATGAATTGCCGAATTTATTCAATCATTCCTCCAGAAATACTTGCTTGAGGCCCACTTTAGAGTTTTTTCCTTGAAATGGTAAAACAAAGTTACACATAGGAGATAGTTTTGAAATTCATGATCTGTGCTGCAATTTAAGATATCAAAACCTGTTTTGTGTTCTTGTATGCTTTGGCTCGTCCCATGTACGGTGAGTCGAGATGAGATATTTTATGTCAAGGCTAAAACAAATAAAATCAACTTGTGCCAATATATACTCTACAATGCTATTCCTTTGGTTTAAGCAGATTATGTTTTGATCTGTATCACTACTTAGTAAAAAGATTGGGATTGATTTTCACTCCATTTTCACTCAATTGATTGTCTTCTTTCTTGCGTTGGCCTTAGTGTTTTGTCATATGGCAGATAAAGGATGATGTAAGAGAATGGTATTTATGGCGAGGACTTGACTTAGCAATACGTAGATAGCTACAAGGATATAGCTCAAAGAATGTCACTCTAAAGGCGGTTCACCAAATCCACATTTTATTGGTGATTTCTCATTCATTTTGCTCTCCAATTTAGAACAGATTGAGTTTTGAATCTCATTTGGTTTAAACTTTTTTAGTCGATTGGAATTAGGGTGTTTTAAGTTCTGCAATAACAAAAAAGAAAAAATTAAAACTCGTTTTGTATCCAAGGAATTGCTATAAGTATAAGGCCATAAAAAAAAAAAAAACTATAAACTAAACAAATTACTGTTGGTTTCGGATCCCGCACCAGAAGTCCGCGACCAACCAAAGATTGCCACATAGTCAAAATAATGGCCCATAAAAGACGAAGCCCATTGGACCCATGAGCAGAAGGAGCGGTCGAAGTGGTGGTCACCACTTCGAGAATCCGAAGTGACTGCACTGTGACACGGGTTCGGTGTAGAAGATATGAGTAAGTCGGTTCGAGGACATTTGGGCCAAAAAGGCGAGGCCCATGAAGATCAGAGTCAACTCAAATTCAAACGTTGAGCATTAAAGTCAAAGAATCAAAACGGACACATTTAAGAGAAAATAATTGTACTTAATTATTCATTTTAATGTCAATTCTCTATGTATAAATATAAAGGCCAATGGCCATGTAAAGGGATCTTCCTCTCAAGAAATATTATCATAGCAATTTTCGTAGCAACTTACAATCTTTTGACACATTCATTTTTTGTCCCTCAAGAATAATCTTTCCTACATAATAAAATACTTGAGTGTGTGAATCCGACATCCACATTTTGGCGCCGTCTGTGGGGACGAATTAGGATTCTTGAGTGGTCAGATTTTTTCTTTACTACACTTCCGAGATAAGCAACAATGTCCGGAGGGGACGCCGCTGAGACATCATTGGCTGAAACCCTCAAAGCTATGCAGCAAACCATGTCGGACATATCACAAAAGTTCTCGGATGTGGAAAAAGCCGTCGATACGTTGCAAACATCCCAGGTATCTCTTAGCCAAAACGTCAATACTATACAAACTCGTGTTCGTTCTTTAAGTGCAGGAAACCTTGCGGGAATCCGAAGAGGGATATTCAACTCGCCAAGTTCCGCTGCACGAAATGAAACCAGCGGACAAACAACTCCCGGCGCTACTAACAATGTAGCCCAGACGTTGGAAGAAGATACACAGCTTGAGGATGAAGAACAACTCGCAGCTCAGTACGAGCAGGAGAACCTCGACCAGTTCGAGACCATGAGGAAGGTTAGCCAGGAATTAAAAGAAATGAAATCAAAATTTCATCAAGCTACAAGCTCAGAGCCAGACATCAGTCGAGTCATTGAAGAAGCTAGGCGAACACCTTTCATCTCGCGAATTGCAAGTTTGAGGATCAAAGATTCCCGGAAACTCAAGTTGGACCCTTACAGCGGATTGGAGGATCCAAAAAGCTATCTCGCAGCTTTTCTGATCACTGCTGGAAGAGTCGAGTTGGATGAAGCTGATGAGGACGCAGGTTACTGCAAGCTTTTCTCGGAGAATCTGTGTGGCCAAGCTCTAATGTGGTTCACCCAATTAGAGCCGGGTTCGATCAGTAATTTCGACGAACTATCAGCCGTATTTTTAAAGCAATATTCCATCCTTATGGATAAAAGCGTTTCGGATGCCGATCTTTGGAACTTGTCGCAAGGATCTAATGAGTCACTTCGAGTCTTCATCACCAAATTCAAAGGAGTGCTGTCAAAACTCCCAAGAATCTCGCAACAATCAGCTTTATCTGCCCTACGAAAAGGATTGCGACACGATTCAAGGTTTAAAGAAGACTTAATACTTCATAAACCAGACACAATTCAGGATGCACTCTTCCGCGCGAACAACTGGATGGAGGTAGAGGACGAAAAAGAAAGTTTTGCCAAAAGAAATAAGCAAGAAAAGCCGGCAATCACCATCCCTACCAAGAAGTTCGAGCCTAGGGAGAGCAAAGGACCAAGGAAGTTTGGGTCGCAACCCTTCAACAGTACCGTCTGAAAGCAATTCCAAGGGAAAGGAAGATCAAACACTTGGGTCCGTGATGAAAGTCTATATTGCGACATTCATAAAGTAACCGGACATTTAACCAAGGATTGCAGCGTTCTTAAAAGGCACCTCGCAGAGCTTTGGGCCAGTGGAGATCTTTCCAAATTCGATATAAAAGATTTTGTGAAGGAATACCACGAAGCAAAAGAAAACTCCAAAGATCAAGATTCCAAAAGACCAAGGTTATCCAACGAAGAAGAACCAAGGAGTTCGAAGGGTAAGATCAATGTGATTCTAGGAGGTTCTAGATTTTGCGGAGATTCGATAAGTTCCATTAAGAAACATAGACGAAATATCCTACTCAAAGCAAGCTTAAGCGAGGAAGTCGATTTTCAAGGTGCATCAATATCATTTAGTGAAGAAGAAACGCGGTACCTCGAAAGACCTCATGATGACGCTCTAGTCATTACCCTCGACGTTGCCAACTTCGAAGTATCAAGGATCCTTATAGATACAGGCAGTTCGGTCGACTTGATCTTTTTAAGTACTTTAGAAAGAATGGGAATCAGCCGAGCGGACATAGTTGGGCCTCCGTCCCCATTAGTTGCATTCACAAGTGAATCAGCCATGTCTCTCGGGACAATCAAGCTACCGGTCCTTGCCAAAAAAGTATCAAAGATCGTGGACTTCGTTGTCTTCGATAAGCCCGCAACTTACAACATCATCCTTGGTACTCCCTGGATCTATCAAATGAAAGCAGTCCCCTCTACATATCATCAGTGTATCAAATTTCCAACGTCAAGAGGAGTGGAAACAATTCGGGGAGATCAAGAAGCTTCACGGACGTGTTATCTAGCTAGCCACCGTATGAAGATTCAATAGCAATTAACGAAGCCCGCAAAAGAGGGACTAAGAACAAAATTTCCTAGCGGGCAGAAGAAAGATGATGTAGTAATCGAAGTGGTATTGGAAGAAGACAAGCCGGACCGGAAAATTCGAATTGGAGCAACTTTGACTGGCCAAATAAAAGAAGCTTTGATCGAACTCTTAAAGAAAAACAAAACATCGTTTGCATGGTCAGCAGCAGACATGCCTGGTATAGATCCAAATATAATTTGTCACGAGCTAAACGTGGATCCAAGCTTCAAGCCAGTGAAACAGAAAAGAAGAAAACTCGGAGTGGAGCGAGCCAAAATAGTAAATGACGAAGTAGATAAACTTTTGAAGATAGGATCCATAAGAGAAGTGCAATACCCGGAATGGATAGCAAACACTGTCGTTGTCAAGAAAAAGAATGGGAAAGATAGGGTTTGCATCGATTTTACAGACTTGAATAAAGCATGTCCCAAAGATAGTTTCCCGCTCCCGCATATAGATCGACTTGTGGAGTCCACCGCTGGAAATGAGCTGTTAACGTTCATGGACGCCTTCTCGGGTTATAATCAGATAATGATGAACCCCGAAGATCAAGAAAAGACGTCATTTATCACAGATAGAGGTATCTACTGTTACAAGGTAATGCCTTTTGGTTTGAAAAATGCAGGAGCAACTTACCAACGGTTGGTGAACAAAATGTTTCACAATCACCTCGGGAAGACTATGGAAGTCTACATAGATGATATGTTGGTTAAATCGTTAAAGAAAGAAGATCATGTTAAACATTTGGAGGAATGTTTCGATATTCTCAATAAATATCAAATGAAGCTGAACCCGGCGAAGTGCACATTTGGAGTCCCATCCGGAGAATTTCTTGGTTATATCGTGACAGAAAGAGGAATCGAAGCCAATCCAAATCAAATCAACGCCTTTCTAAACATGCCGTCTCCAAGAAACTTCAAAGAAGTACAACGGTTGACGGGGCGGATTGCGGCTTTGAATCGTTTTATCTCGAGATCAACAGATAAGTCGTTACCTTTCTACCAAATTCTAAAAGGGAACAAAGGATTCCTTTGGGATGAGAAGTGTGAAGAAGCTTTTGGGCAGCTTAAGGCATACTTAACCACTCCGCCTATACTGTCCAAACCGGAAGTGGATGAAAAACTTTATTTGTATGTATCGGTTTCAAACCACGCGGTTAGTGGAGTCTTGGTTCGGGAAGACCGTGGGGAGCAGAAGCCAATTTACTACGTGAGCAAGTCAATGACGGATCCGGAAACCAGGTACACAATGATGGAAAAGCTTGCACTCGCGGTGGTAACTTCGGCTCGGAAGCTGCGTCCATATTTTCAGTCCCATCCGGTTGAAGTATTGACTAACCAACCACTCCGAACAATACTTCATAGTCCAAGTCAGTCCGGACGTTTGGCGAAATGGGCGGTGGAATTAAGCGAGTACGACATAGAGTTCAAAAGCCGAATCAGTATGAAGGCTCAGGTCTTAGCAGACTTCCTAACCGAACTACCAATACCTGGAACGATAGAGCAACCGGAGAACCAAATTTGGAAATTACACGTAGACGGGTCTTCAACAAAACAAGGATCTGGAGTGGGAATCAAGTTGGAATCTCCAACATCAGAAATTCTAGAACAATCATTCCGATTGTTATTCAATGCTTCCAACAACGAGGCAGAATACGAAGCCCTTATTGCCAGACTTCGACTAGCACAAGGACTTGGAGCTAAGGAAATATTGACTTATTGCGATTCGCAATTAGTAGTTAACCAATTTAATGGAGACTATGAAGCCAGAGATTCAAGAATGGAAGCATACCTCGAAGTGGTGAAGGATTTATCTAAAAATTTTTCGAAATTCGAATTAATCCGCATACCTCGGGGAGAGAATACAACTGCGGATGCACTTGCCGCATTGGCGTCAACATCAGATCCCGAGTTAAAGAGAGTTATTCCAGTGGAATGCATTTCGGAGCGAAGCATTCAAGACAGCAA